ACCGAAAGAGTAACAACGCTCGTACAAAGCAAAAAAGGGCTCTGCTACCCATCCTGGCTGAGCCTGCACGGATCAGACTTATCCCAAGGAAGTAAAAACGGTCTCAATTTAACAATAACCTGATGCTCAGAAGCACCAAGCGAAGCCTGAGCGGGTCAGACTAAAAGATGGGGTTCAGGCATTTCAGCTACACGTTGGCAATTCAAAGGTGAGCAGCCATGGCAGAGCAGGCTGTGCAGCAACCCTCAGGGCTTGTAAGCTTAGTAAGAAACTGTTGCAACGTATTTTGATTTGATTTTTTTCTTTTTTTTTTTTTAGGGAGGGGAAAAAAAAAGAAAGAGAGAGAAAAGCTCGCAAACCAAGATTACGAGTTACACAATTCAAAACTACATTTTTTGCCACAACGGGAAGCAATATTCAACACGCCAACAAGTCAGAGTCCACAATTTGTCTGCTTGCTACTGAAAGACAATTTTATTTAAATCTAGGAGGGAAATGGCCTCTCTGATACTGTACCTGATCCTCGACATTGCAAACTCTGCTGATGCCAAGGCCTTACAGGGAGGCTGGGAATCCAACATCAGCTTGCATATTATTTTAAACATATTTGTATAAGCAAGTGGTGACTGGCAACTCTCAAGCATAAATTATGCCCAGAACTCAAACACACACACACCCCTTTTATCGAGTAAAAACCCCATTTGCTGGCGATCAATAAAAGGCAGCGCAACGGGGCGGGTAAGCACAAGATCACGCGTTGGTTTTGTGTGTCTGGGTATTACCTCACTTGTTTCCTCTGATTGGGGAAAGATGAACATCACCTTCCAGTGAAAACCGAGCACGCGGTGCAATTTGCGGAGAAGTCCTGAACTAAAGGAGGCTCCTTGTTGGCTTTGAAGTTCCCTAAAAGGCCAGAAGCTCAGCAGAAAGCGCCACAGAGCACCTTCTCTCCTGCAAACCCCAGCAGCAGCTTTTCACAGCAGGAGGTGAGGATCGGCCAGTCCCCTCTTCTTCTCTATCCCCCACACCCTCTGCCAGGGTTTAGGTTGTGGCAAGCGCCACAAAAGATTTGGGAAATACCTGTCTAGTTAGATGACAAGGTTTGCAGATGGGATCACTCACAAGGAAATCCCACAACGGCTGGCAGGAGGGTTGTAAAATCACACCTAACTGAGCAATGAGACAACAGGTGGAATTCAGAGATTGGTGTAAAGCAACAGACGTGGGGGGGAAAAAAATAAATCCAGCTACGCATGCACAGAGAGTGGGCTCCTGGTGAGCTCCACTGCTTGGGGAAAGATCTCGGCTGAGAGTGATAGGACTGGAAAAAGTAGATGAGCTTCGACAGTTGAACACAGGCTCATGTGGCCAAAGTGAGAATACAGGGAAAAAAAAAAAAAAAAAGAAACAACACAACAGAAACCAAACAAAACAGGAAATCATGTGGCAGTGCTGTAAGCCCACAAGTGCCCCACATCCTGAGCCAGGCACGAGGTCCCAGATCCCCTCACGGCAAAAGGGCATCGCAGCACTCGGGGAGGTACCGGGGAAAGTCAGTGAGGTGATTCAGGGAGATTTGTGTACAAAGACAGGCTTCACAGACCACAGCCTGACTCTGGGAGAGAGACCGAGCGCGCCATAAAATCAGAAACACAAACACGGAATGATGGTTTTGTGTTTCTCAGAAGGGCTGTGTGAGAGAGCACCCAAGGCAACTGTCACTGAAGGGCTTTAAAACCAAAGGGGTTAGCTTTATCAGTAAATGGTGGAACTGTCTCAGAAACCAGAAGTAAAAAAGGGTTTAGAAAGGCTTGGACAAACCCACCAGGTCAGGTCTACCAGGAGCCACCACGGACTACCGGACATTACCCTTGAAGGCGCAGTACGCTGGCACTGCGCACGAGATATTACTTGCCAAAAAGAAGTAAGAACAGCTTGAGCCTTCACAGGGACCAAGTCAGAAAATCTCACCCACAATTTAATAAAAAAAAAAAAAAAAACAGCAATAAAGCAGATGAGAACAACACCCTGGGTGCTGCACCCTCCACGACCACTCCGTCTTGCTCCCTCTGAATTTGCCAGACAGGACAGAAAAGAAAGCTTTTCTTTTCAGCTGCTTTTCTTCTCAGTAAGGCTGGGTACAGGACTGTATCGCACTTTCCCCTTTCAGAAAGCTCAGCTCTCCAATAATAACAAACATCTGAAGGCAAAAGACGCAGCAGAACGTGCTTGACCTGCCCACTATAGACACGGGTCCCATTAATAACCCCAAGAAAAGGTCCCTCAGTCGAAAGACAGGACATCTTCCCACATTACTGGACCGTTCCAACCTCCATCAACAAATTCAGGATGATGCAGAAGAAGGGGAACAGAGCTAGCACCACCTTACTAGCCCAAAAAAGAGGGGAATTAAGCAACGCAGGACATGCCATGACACACCAGAGCACGGCCGCCTTCCTCAGCAGGTGCCTCTGAGATATTGACAAGTTTCTCAAACATCCTCCATCCTTCTTTCACGCCCCCCAAAACCAAATTTCTCTATTTTAGTATTCTGAGCTCAGCATTTGAGAAGGCAACAGGGACAACCAGATAAACTAACTGGAGTTTTTGGGGTGAGGATTCAACCCATCAGGAAGCTTTTCAGGTAAGCTCCTTAAGAACCGACGCCGGGTATTTTGCTGCCGGCAGCACCTCGTGCGACACAAGACCTGCTGCACCATCTGCAGTGCACGCATCCAAGAAGAAAAATCCCAGTTTACGGACCCGCTTGGCCCTGGCTTTGGTCAGGCAACACAACCAGTTCCTCAGTATCCTCAAGGCTGCACTAAAGGCGCCCGAGTCTCGATGGAAGAGAAGTTTAAGGCTGAGAACAAGCCAGAGAAATGTAACGTGTTATTAATTAACCCCCCGGGGTGAATCTCCGTTTTCATTCTCACTACCAAACCCAGGTTGCAGCCTGGATTACAGATGTGATGCAAACACAGCGAACTGGGGAGATAACGTGGAAAAAAAATGAAGAGGCTTAATCTCACAAGGAGGGTGTTTAGCGAAGACCAGGGTCGGCACGGCAAAGGCAGAACAGAAAAGCAAGAGGAAACCCGAGGCCAGAGAGGCCACGGGGTCTTACAGAGCCAGCACAGACCCCGCAGACAGGACCAAAGAGACCCCACACCGTCACCGGGGCATCACCCAAACCCTCTCCTCCTGCGCTTGCACCCCCACTTTTTCTTACATCCCTCTTACCCCACAGTGGGGGACCCCCTCTGCCCCACTCCTCTCCGCTTTTCCTCTCCCACCCCACGGCCCCTTCACCGCTGCCTCCCCACACCCATCCCGCCCCCATCAACCCCCCGTGCCCCATGACCTGAACCCCTCGATACGCCCAGCCCCAGACACCTCAGCCTTCCCCAAGCACCCCTGAACCCCCACCTCACCCTTATCGCCATCTCCTCACCCTCAGGCCCTCCCAGTCCCCCCCAAATCTCCCCCTTTACCCCCCCACTCTCTACCCCAAACCCCTCCCTACACCCAGGACCCCCGCTCCAACCTTTCTCTCGCTGGCTCCGGGCCCCCCTCATCTACCCCACAGCCCCCACTATGCCCCCAGGCCCACCCCACACTCCTGCCCCTCAACCGCTCCTAACCACCCCCCACCCACAGCCCCCCCAACATCCCCAGCCCCCAAAATCTCTCCTATACTTGTAACTTCTCCTCCAAGCTCTCTGCCCCTCATCCCCCACCCATATCTCAACCCCCCAAGCTCAACACAAACCCTCACCCCCTCCCAACATCCCCAGCCCCCCCCAACCCCCTCCCCACATCCCCCAGACCCCACTAATCCCCCTCCCCAGCTCCCCAGCCCCCCCAAACTCTCTCCCCACCTCCCCAGCCCCTCCTCACATCCCCAGCCCCCCAAAAACCCTCTCCCCACACCCCCAGCCCCCCCAAGCCCTCTCCCCATCCCCTCCTCACATCCCCAGCCCCCCCAAAACCCTCTCCCCACCTCCCCAGCCCCCCCAAAACCCTCTCCCCACCTCCCCAGCCCCTCCTCACATCCCCAGCCCCTCCAAAACCCTCTCCCCACCTCCCCAGCCCCTCCTCACATCCCCAGCCCCCCCCAAAACCCTCTCCCCACATCCCCAGCCCCCCCCAAACCCCCTCCCCACAACCCCAGCCCCTTCCCAAAACCTTCTCCCCACATCCCCAGCCCCCTCCCCCAAACCCTCTCCCCCTCCCCACATCCCCAGGCCCACTCGAGACCCCCATACCCCTTTACCTCCCACCCCAGACACCCCACGCCGCCATACCCACACCGACCTGCAGCGTGCGCTGCCGCAGGGCCCGCAGCCTCTCCCGCCGCCGCCGCGCCTCCTCCTCCAGCCTCCCCAAAGCCGGGCCCTCCTCCGCCTCCACACCGCCAACGGGCGCCGCCATCTTCCCCCCTCTCCCCCTCCAACTTCCACGTACAGCCCCTAGCGCGCATGCGGGGTAGGTGCCACCCGATCGAGCACCGAGCGCATCGATCGGCAAACCGCGGCGGGGGGCGCGATCGTTGCGGGGGGGGGGAACAGAGCGCGGGGAGGAGGGGAATTACCAAAAAAAAAAAAATCAATATTAATAAAAAATAGAAAGGTAAAATAACCCCAAATCCTTTTGCTCCGCTCAGACACGCTCACTCCACCACCCTCCCAGGGCGCGCAAGGCTCAGCTGCTTTAATGGGGGGGGGGGAAATTATTGGAATTATTTGCGGGGGGGGGGGGGCATTTTACTTTCCCCACCTTCCCTTTTTTTACCTTCCCCTCGCAAAGGGCTGCCCGCGGGGCAAGGTAAAAAGAGGGGGTGGGAAGGGATGGGCTCCCCCCCCCCCCCCCCGCCTCCCCGCAGCAGCAGGTACCCGGTACCGGGGGGGGGGGGGGGGGCCCTGTCACCGCCCCCCCCCCCGCCCCGTACCTGGGGGAGGGCCTGGCGATGGGGGGGGGGGGGGCGGAGCTGCCCGCCGTGCCGTGCCGTACCGAGCCGTGCCGGCCCGGCATGGCTTCCCGGGAGCGGCTTTACGAGCTTTGGATGCTCTACTTCGCCAAGGTGAGGTGGGCACCGGAGGCAACCCCCCCCCCGGCCACAGCTTCATCCCGGGGGGGGGGGGGGCAGCACCCCTTTACCCCCATCACCCCCGCTGCCTGCATCCCCCCCTTCCCTGGGAGACGGGGGGGGGGGGGGGGGGGGGGGGTGTTACAAGCGCTGCCCGCACCCCCCTGCCTGCACCCCCTGTCCCGGGGGGGGGAAGGTTTGGGGAGGGAGGGAGGGCTCCCTACTTGGGTTCCCCCCCCCCCCGCACCTCATTGCTACATCCAGCCACCCCCCCCCCACACCCCGCCGTGCGACCCCCATGGGGGGCAACCCACTGGTGCAGCCGGGGGGGCCGCGACACCCCCCCCCCCAACCCCACCCTTGCCACCTTTTTGGGGGGCACCGCGTTTCCCCCCCCCTCCCTGCAACCCCCTGCCATATCCCGGGGGTCCACGCCCCCCCCCCCCCCACGCTCTTTCCCACCTCTGCGGGGGCCACCGCACCCCGATGTCCGCGACAATTCCCACACCCCACCCCCCCAACTTGGAGGGCACTGCGTCCCCCCCGGACCCCACCGCTGCACCCCGACGACCCCCCCTTTCCCACCCATCCCGCGGGGGGGGTGAGGGGGTGGGTTCACACCCCCCTTACACCCAGCCGGTAGGTTTAGGGGGACGGGGGGGAACGGGGGTGTCCGTGCCACCCACCCACCCACCCGCTCCCCCCCCCCCCCGAATCCCTGCGCCCCCCCCCGGCAGCAGGTGCGGCCGCGGTGACATTGGAGCAGCATCGGGAGCAACGAGGCGGGGGGGGGGACACACACAAAAAGGGGGTGTCCTGCTCACGGGGGACCCCCCATCCCAGCCCCCCCCCCTTTGGCTCCACCACCTCCCCCCTTGCAGCGTATTCCCGCGGTGGGGGGGGGTCTCTGGCCCACAGCATGCAAGGACCCCCCCACCCCCCGTCCCACTCACCCCCCACACACACCCTGAGTGGCCCTTGCGCTTCATTTTCTCCTTAATTACCCCCCACTCGAGGTTGGGGTGGTGGGGGCCCGATCCTGGAGGAGAGGAGACACCCCCCCCCCATGACACCCCGAGCTTTTGTGCCCGCAGGTTGGGGTGGCCAGTGGGGGTTTTGGGGGTTGAAAAGGGTTATTTCTACCCCAAAACACCGCTGTGTCCCCCGCGCGTGGCCGGGGACGCCAGGAGGGATTGGGGGCAGCCCTTGTGTCTGTCACCTCATCCAGCCCCGCGACGTCCCCTGGGACCCGCCAGCTCTTCCGTACCCCAAAACAAAGCCACCCCCCGCACCCCACCCCCCCCCTTTTTACCCAGCCCTGCGAAAAGGGGTTGAAGCATCTTCAAGGTCCCCTCGGTGACGGGTGGTGCCACCCCCGAGTGGCCCCGGGTCTGTTCTGGACACGTGACATGTTATGGGGGTGGCCGTGGGTGTAAGGGGACACATGCCATGTCATTGGGGTGTAGGGGACACGCGCCGTGTCATGGGGGTGGCCGTGGTTGTAGGGGGACACGTTCCATGTTGTAGGGGGACGCGTGCCATGTCACTGGGGTGGCCATGGGTGTATAGGGGGACATGTGCCATGTCATTGGAGTGGTCATGGGTGTAGGGGACACATTCCATGTTGTAGGGGGACGCATGCCATGTCACTGGGGTGGCCATGGGTGTAGGGGACATGTGCCATGTCATCGGGGTGGCCATGGGTGTATAGGGGGGCACGTGCCATGTCATTGGGGTGGCCGTTGTAGGGGACACATTCCATGTTTAGGGGGGCACGTGCCATGTCACTGGGGTGGCCATGGGTGTAGGGGACATGTGCCATGTCACTGGGGTGGCCATGGGTGTATAGGGGGACATGTGCCATGTCATTGGGGTGGTCATGGGTGTAGGGGACACATTCCATGTTTAGGGGGGCACGTGCCATGTCATTGGGGTGGTCATGGGTGTAGGGGACACATTCCATGTTGTAGGGGGACACGTGCCATGTCATGGGGGTGGTGGCTGTTGTTGTAGGGGACACGTTCCATGTTGTAGGGGGACACGTCCCATGTCATTGGGGTGGCCGTTGTTGTAGGGGACACATTCCATGTTTAGGGGGGCACGTGCCATGTCATTGGGGTGGCTGTGGTTGTAGAGGGACACATGCCATGCCTTTGGGGTGGCCATGATTGTAGGGGACACATGCCATGTTGTAGGGGACATGTGCCATGTCATTGGGGTGGCTGTGGTTGTAGGGGACACGCGGCGTGTCATGGGGATGGCCTTGGTTGTAGGGGACACGTGCCATGCTGTGGGGGTGGCCATGGTTGTATGGGGACACATTCCATGTTGTAGGGGGACATGTGCCATGTCATTGGGGTGGCTGTGGTTGTAGGGGACACGCACCATGTCATGGGGATGGCCATGGTTGTAGGGGGACACATGCCATGTCGTGGGGGTGGCTGTGGTTGTAGGGGACACGTGCCATGCCGTGGGGGTGGCCACGGGTGTAGGGGACATGTGCCATGCCTTCGGGGTGGCCGTGGTTGTAGGGAACATGCGCCGTGTCATGGGGGTGGCCATGGTTGTAGGGGACACGTGCCATGTCGTAGGGGGACATGTGCCATGTCATTGGGGTGTACGTGCTCTTACAGGGGCCACGTGCCTTGTCACGGGGTGTGCGCAGTCACAGGGGGACACGTGCCACACCATTGGGGTGTTCACACCTGCACAGGGCCAGGTGCTGTGCCATCGGGGTGTGCGTGCTGGTATGGGGACACGTGCCCCACCGTCAAGGTGTGCAGGCTCAAGAGGGACACGTGTCACGCCATCAGGTGTGCGTGGCCATACAGGGGACATGGATGTACGTGCGTGCACGTGTGGAGGACACATGCCACGCTGTTGGGTGTGTGTGGTCATACAGGGGACACGTGTCGCGCCGTTGGGTGTCTGTGGTCATACGTGGCATGCTGTCAGGGGTGCATGGTCATACAGGGATACGTGCCGCGCCATTGAGGGTGTGTGGTCATACAAGGGACACATGTCATGCCATTGGGGGTGTGTGGTCATACAGGGGACACGTGCCACACCGTTGGTGTGTGTGGTCATGTGACATGCTGTTGGGTGTGCGTGGTCATACAGGGGACACGTGTCACGCTGTTGGGTGTGCGTGGTCATACGTGACATGCTGTCGGGTGTGCATGGTCATACAAGGGACACGTGTCATGCTGTTGGGTGTGTGTGGTCATACGTGACATGCTGTCGGGTGTGCATGGTCATACAAGGGACATGTGTCCCACTGTTGGCTGTGCATGGTCATACATGACATGCTGTTGGGTGTGCATGGTCATACAAGGGACACGTGTCACGCTGTTGGGTGTGCATGGTCATACATGACATGCTCTTCGGTGTGCATGGTCATCCAAGGGACACGTGTCACGCTGTTGGGTGTGCGTGGTCATACGTGACATGCTGTCGGGTGTGCGTGGTCATACAGGGGACACGTCCCACGCCATTGGGCCTACTTGGTCATATGTCACATGCTGTTGGGTGCGCGTGGTCATACGGGGGACACGTGCCACGCTGCCCGGTGCGCACGGTTGTACGGGGCGGGGGGACACGTGCCACGCTGTCGGGAGCGTACAAGCCCGTACGGGGGACACGTGTGACGCTGTCAGGTGTGCGCGGTCATACAGGGGACCCGTGCCATGCCGTTGGCATGTGCAAGCACATCCAAGGGACACGTGTCACGCTGTTGGGTGTGCGTGGTCATACGTGACATGCTGTCGGGTGTGCGTGGTCATACAGGGGACACGTGCCACGCCATTGGGCCTACTTGGTCATATGTCACATGCTGTTGGGTGCGCATGGTCATACGGGGGACACGTGCCACGCTGTCCGGTGCGCACGGTTGTACGGGGCGGGGGGACACGTGCCACGCTGTCGGGAGCGTACAAGCCCGTACAGGGGACACGTGTGACGCTGTCGGGTGTGCGCGGTCATACAGGGGACCCGTGCCATGCCGTTGGCGTGTGCAAGCACATACAAGGGACACGCGCCACGCTGCCGGGTGCGCGTGGCCCGCCGAGGCCGCCTGCCAAGGGTTCCGGGTGTCCAAGCTCGCCCCGGGGACACGGGGCCGCACCACCGGGCCGGGTGTTCCCCCCTCGGGGACACGTGTCCAGGTGACGGGCGACGAGGTGACCGAGAGGCAGGACCTGGGTGTCACACCCCCCCCCCCAAAAAAAAAGCCGCAAAACCCGGCGGGGGAGACGTCCCCAACCACCCGGCGAGGCCAAGGCCGCCGTCCGCTTTTTGCCGTCCCCGTTACCGGGTTCGTTTCGGGGCGGCGGGTGCTGCCACCACTCCCAGTGGCACCTCGGTGGCACCGTCCCCAATGTCATCGGTGTCCCCCCCCCCCCTCCCGCCACGGCGTCCACCCCCCTGTGCCGCACCAGAGCCGGGACAAAGCTGGGGGGCTGGCACCGCGGCAGGGGACCCCAGTGGGGTGACACCGGAGGGTCCCGGCAGTGCGGGGGGACCCGACAGCGGGGAGGTGACAACTCGGTGGCTTTGCCACTGTCACCTTTTTACCATTTTGTTTGTTTTGGGGTTTTTTTTGGGGGGGGGGGGGGGGGGGGATGGAGGTGCTGGCACGATGTTCCCAGGCGGCACCGCGCCGGCTGAACCCAGAAGCCACCCAACAGGCTCTGCCAGCCGGCAACCGGCTGGGACGGGCACCGGCCCAGGGTGGGGACGCTGGCCACGGGTGGGTGGGTGCAAGGAGGAAATTTTTGCAAGGGGGGGGGGGGCATAAAAAAAAAAAAAAAAAAAAAGTGCTGAGAACTGACAAACTCGCTACACAGTGGGTTCAGTTCACACTGGTACAGAGGGGGGTGGTTTTGGCACGATCCGGTTTGGAATCAAGCGGGCTGTGACCCCCCCCCCCCATGACCTTGGCTGTGACCTTGGCGCATCCCAGAGGTGTTGGGTGGGGGGGTAGCACCCCAAAACACACCACACAACCCCCCACCCCCCAAAAAAAAAAAAAAAAAAAAAAGAGGTGCCGGGCAGCGGGGCGCGGTGAGAGGAAACGCCGTTGGGGCGGCGGGTGACTTGGCATTTCCTGATGCTATGGTGAATTTTTTTTTTTGGGGGGGGGTTGGTTGGTGGTTTTTTGTTTTTTTTTTTTGGGGGGGGGGGGTGGGGGGAGCGTGTTGGGTTTTTTTTGCACAAGAGCGAAGCGAGGCGGCGGGGAGGAAAAAAAAAAAAAAAAAAAAGGAGGGGGGGACACACATAAAATAATAACACACCTCACCGCCACTGCTCAGCCCCGCGCCACCGGGGTCATGGACGGCTGCGGTGACCCCACCAGTCAGGTAATGGGGGGACTGGGGGGGGGTACATATTGGGGGACCCCCCCTTTGCCCCCCCCTTCCCAAGCCCAGCTCGCCCAGCCGGATGATGGTGCTTGTGGTTGAGAAGTAATGGGGGGAGGGGGGGGGGGAGGCGGGTTTTGGGGGGGAAATGGGTGATATAGGGGAGGCGGCGGTTGGGGGGGGGAGGGTTGGGGGTGACTGGGGGAGAGGGGGTGAGTTTTGGGGGGGTTGTTGGGAGGGGTGTGAAGTCCCCTCTGGTGGGGGGGGTGGAGTGAGCGGGGGCCCCTCATGTCCCTTGGAGGGGGGGTTGAGGGGAACGGGATGTCCCCAAGGGGTGACGGTTCCTGCCTGGGCTGGGGACACCCCCCGAGGGGCTGTATTGGGGTGCTGGGGGATGGGGGGGTCACCCTGGGGGCTGTACTGGGGTACTGGGGGGTGTGGGTGACCCCAAGGGGCTGCATGGGGGTGCTCGAGGACATGGGTGACCGCAGGGGGCTGTGTTGGGGTGCCGGGGGACATGGGTGACCTCAGGGGGCTGTATTGGGGTGCTCGAGGACATGGGTGACCCCAGGGGGCTGTGTTGGGGTGCCGGGGGACATGGGTGACCCCAGGGGGCTGTATTGGGGTGCTCGAGGACATGGGTGACCCCAGGGGGCTGTGCTGGGGGACATGGGTGACCCCAGGGGGCTGTACTGGGGTGCTGGGGCCTGTGGGTGACCCCAGGGGGCTGTATTGGGGTGCCGGGGGACATGGTTGACCCCAGGGGGCTGTGTTGGGGTGCCGGGGGACATGGGTGACCTCAGGGTGCTGTATTGGGGTGCCGGGGGACATGGGTGACCCCAGGGGCTGTGTTGGGGTGCCGGGGGACATGGGTGACCCCAGGGGGCTGTATTGGGGTGCTGGGGGACATGGGTGACCCTAGGGGGCTGTATTGGGGTGCTCAAGGACATGGGTGACCCCAGGGGGCTGCGTTGGGGTGCTGGGGGACATGGGTGACCCCAGGGGGCTGTATTGGGGTGCTCGAGGACATGGGTGACCCCAGGGGGCTGTACTGGGGTGCTGGGGGACATGGGTGACCCCAGGGGGCTGTATTGGGGTGCTCGAGGACATGGGTGACCCCAGGGGGCTGTACTGGGGTGCTGGGGGACATGGTTGACCCCAGGGGGCTGTATTGGGGTGCTGGGGCCTGTGGGTGACCCCAGGGGGCTGTATTGGGGTGCCGGGGGACATGGGTGACCCCAGGGGGCTGTGTTGGGGTGCCGGGGGACATGGGTGACCCTGGGGGCTGTATTGGGGTGCTGGGGGACATGGGTGACCCCAAGGGGCTGTATTGGGGTGCTCGAGGACATGGGTGACCCCAGGGGGCTGTATTGGGGTGCCGAGGGACATGGGTGACCTCAGGGGCTGTGTTGGGGTGCCGGGGGACATGGGTGACCCTGGGGGCTGTATTGGGGTGCTGGGGGACATGGGTGACCCCAAGGGGCTGTGTTGGGGTGCTCGAGGACATGGGTGACCCTAGGGGGCTGTATTGGGGTGCTCAAGGACATGGGTGACCCCAGGGGGCTGTGTTGGGGTGCCGGGGGACATGGGTGACCCCAGGGGGCTGTATTGGGGTGCTGGGGGACATGGGTGACCCTAGGGGGCTGTATTGGGGTGCTCAAGGACATGGGTGACCCCAGGGGGCTGCGTTGGGGTGCTGGGGGACATGGGTGACCCCAGGGGGCTGTATTGGGGTGCTCGAGGACATGGGTGACCCCAGGGGGCTGTACTGGGGTGCTGGGGGACATGGGTGACCCCAGGGGGCTGTATTGGGGTGCTCGAGGACATGGGTGACCCCAGGGGGCTGTACTGGGGTGCTGGGGGACATGGTTGACCCCAGGGGGCTGTATTGGGGTGCTGGGGCCTGTGGGTGACCCCAGGGGGCTGTATTGGGGTGCCGGGGGACATGGGTGACCCCAGGGGGCTGTGTTGGGGTGCCGGGGGACATGGGTGACCCTGGGGGCTGTATTGGGGTGCTGGGGGACATGGGTGACCCCAAGGGGCTGTATTGGGGTGCTCGAGGACATGGGTGACCCCAGGGGGCTGTATTGGGGTGCCGAGGGACATGGGTGACCTCAGGGGCTGTGTTGGGGTGCCGGGGGACATGGGTGACCCTGGGGGCTGTATTGGGGTGCTGGGGGACATGGGTGACCCCAAGGGGCTGTGTTGGGGTGCTCGAGGACATGGGTGACCCTAGGGGGCTGTATTGGGGTGCTCAAGGACATGGGTGACCCCAGGGGGCTGTGTTGGGGTGCCGGGGGACATGGGTGACCCCAGGGGGCTGTACTGGGGTGCTGGGGGACATGGGTGACCGCAGGGGGCTGTATTGGGGTGCTCAAGGACATGGGTGACCCCAGGGGGCTGTATTGGGGTGCTCGAGGACATGGGTGACCCCAGGGGGCTGTGTTGGGGTGCTGGGGGACATGGGTGACCGCAGGGGGCTCTGTTGGGGTGCCGGGGGACATGGGTGACCCCAGGGGGCTGTATTGGGGTGCCGGGGGACATGGGTGACCCCAGGGGGCTGTGTTGGGGTGCCGGGGGACATGGGTGACCCCAGGGGGCTGTACTGGGGTGCTGGGGGACATGGGTGACCCCAGGGTGCAATGGGGGGTGCTGTGGGGCGGGTGGCCCCCGGGGGGAATCGTGCTGTTGCAAAACCGCCAGGCTGGGGGTTGTGTCAGGTGGAGCCTGGCGCTGCCTGCTGATTGGCTGGCAGCTGCCTGGAGGGGCAGGTGCCCCGAGTGCTGATTGGCTGGGATTTGTCTATAGGGGCAGGTGACTCGAGTGCTGATTGGTCAGTGGTTTCGCAGGTTGTTCTGTTCTGGGTGCTGATTGGCCAGCAGCTCCACAGGTTGTTCTGCTCTGCCTGCTGATTGGTCAGAGGTTCCATAAGTTGTTCTGGTCTGCTTGCTGATTGGCCAGCAGCTCCACAGGTTTTTCTGATCTGAGTGCTGATTGGCCAGCAGCTCCACAGGTTGTTCTGCTCTGCCTGCTGATTGGTCAGAGGTTCCATAGGTTGTTCTGCTCTGCCTGCTCATTGGTCAGAGATTCCATAAGTTGTTCTGGTCTGCTTGCTGATTGGCCAGCAGCTCCACAGGTTTTTCTGATCTGAGTGCTGATTGGCCAGCAGCTCCACAGGTTGTTCTGCTCTGCCTGCTGATTGGCCAGCAGCTCCACAGGTTGTTCTGCTCTGGGTGCTGATTGGTCAGAGGTTCCATAGGTTGTTCTGCTCTGCCTGCTGATTGGCCAGCAGCTCCACAGGTTGTTCTGCTCTGCCTGCTGATTGGCCAGCAGCTCCACAGGTTGCCCATTGGCCGGTGCCTCCCAGGTGTGCGCTCACACCCCGGGGGTGCCAACTGACCAGCGGCTCCGGGTGGGGGGCTCGTTCACTCTGGCAGCTGATTGGCTGACACCTTCGCGGTGTCAGTCCCTGTGCGACCTGATTGGCCAGCAGCTCCAGCCCCGCCTCCCCCCCCCCCCCTCCTCCCCCCAATGCAGAAGGACCTCTCCTACCTGCAGCAGTGGCTGGAAGCCTTCGTCATGAACTTCGAGAAGATCATCGCCCTGCCCTCGCTGGAGCCCAGGCGGTGAGGAGCACCCCGGCACCCATGGGTGCTGTGCGGGTGACACCCCATGGGGATGGCGGGGGGGGGGGGACAGGCATGACACCCACAGCTAAATTTGGGGGGTTGCCTTAACGCCGCAAGCGGATGAGCGGCCGTGGTTTTGCAACCATCCGGTTTGACGCTTGGAGGATGGAGCTGGGGGGGGGGGGGGGAGATTTGATGGGGTTGGGGGGGTTGGGGATGGGGGGGGGGTGTCACATCCTGCCACACCCCCCCCCCCCCCCCTTTTCCCCATGGCAGGCCGGAGGAGTCAGTGTCAGAGATCCCGGTGCTGCCGCGGGAGGTGCTGCAGGTGCTGAGCCAGAGGCTGGGTCAGTGCGTGGCCCAGGTCCCGCGGGACGAGGCGGGGGGGGCCAGCCTGGGCCAGGCCCTGCTCCTCCTCAAGTTCTTCATCATCATCTGCAGGTGGGACACAAACACCCCCCCCCAACCCCCCTGCCATCCCTCGGGGGTTTTTTTTGGGGGGGGGGGGGGTGGTCCTGACTTCCCTCTGTCCCTCCACATGCTTTCGGTCTTCCTGGCGCTGCAGGAGCAACCCCAAAGGCAGCCCAGCTCTGCTTCCCCCCAAGTGCTGGGGGAAAAACACACTGAAAGGACATCACACCCCCGCCCCCCCCCCCCCAAAGCATCAGCATCACCCCTCTCCAAAAAAAAAAAAAAAAAAAAAAAAAAAAAAAAGTGCATCATCCCCTCTGAAGTGCATTGCATCACCCCAGAACACAGTATTTTCCCACCCACCTCCCCAAAGAACAGCATCCCCCCCCCCAGGAGTACATCGCGCCCCCCTTGACCCTTCCCCAGGGGTTTGGGGGGGGGGACGACACACCATCCACTTGTGTGTGTGCCCCCCCCCCCCCCCAGTTCCTAGCCACTAAGGGGTTCAGCTGAGGATGTGCCCTGGCTTGCGCCAGCTGCCACATTATCATCCCCCCCACACTCCATGATGCAATAACCCCCCCCCATGGTGCAACAACACCCCCCCCCCCCCATAATGCATTAACACCCCCCCACACAACCCCCCGCTCCAGGAACCTGGAAAACATCCAAGCGGACAAAACCCCCAGCTTCATCCCGGAGGTGCTGAAGCTGCTGCGGGTCTGCGCGAGCCAGGTGAGCGTGCGGGGAGAACCCCCTGCCCCAATTTTTTTGGGGGGGGGGCTCAGCCAGAGGAGGATTTTTTTTTTTTTTTTTTTTTTGGAGGATGGGGGGTGTTAATCCCGCTCCGGTTTCCCGGCAGCTGAAAAATATCCGGGAGGACGAGCGGGGCAGGATGCAGCTGGAGAGCGGGATGCTTTACGCCCTGCATCTCTGCGAGTGTCTCTTCGACCCCTACCAGACCTGGCGGCGGCAGCTGAGCGGGTGAGCGGGGACCCCCCCCCCCCCCCACTTCAACCCTGCATCCCAAAACCTCCCAACCCCCTCCTGCCCCACCCCGCCCCCCTCTCTTTTCACCCCTCTCTTTCCAGGGAAGTCATCAGCGCGAAGGAGAAGAGTAAATACAAGTTTGCCCCGGCCCCTTTGCCCCCCGAGTTTGGCGTCTTCTTCCAAGGTAAAGGGGGGGCCTGTCCCCCCCCCCCACAATTACCTGCTGCAGCCGGGTTTGGGCTCCAGCAGCACGTAGAGGGTCAGTATGGGATCCATGGGTGCATCGAGCATCCCGGGGCAGGTAGAGGATGCTGGGCTGGGGATGGGATCCAGGAGCACATATAGGATCTGGGGGGGCTTATAGTATTCGGGGGTAGGTGTGTGATTTGAGGGCAGATAGAGGGTTGTGTACCTGCCCCTGCAAATATAGGATCCTATACCTGCCCCTGGTTATCCTATACCTGCCCCTGCAAATGTAGGAGCCTATAACTATCCCAGGGTCAGTATAAGATTTGAGAGCAAATACAGGATCCTGTATCTGCCCCAGGACCCCATACGTGCTTGGAGGGGAGGGCAAATATAGGATCCTATACCTGCCCCTGGGTATCACCTACCTGCCCCTGCAAATATAGGATTCTGTACCTGCCCCTGGTTATCCTATGCCCATGCTTGCAAATATAGGATCCTATACCTACCCCAGTTTATCCTATGCCCATGCTTGTAAATATAGGATCCTATACCTGCCCCTGCAAATATAGGATCCTATACCTGCCCCTGGTTATCCTATACCTGCCCCTGGTTATCCTATACCTGCCCCTGCAAATGTAGGAGCCTATAACTATCCCAGGGTCAGTATAAGATTTGAGAGCAAATACAGGATCCTATATCTGCCCCAGGACCCCATACGTGCTTGGAGGGGAGGGCAAATATAGGATCCTATACCTGCCCCAGCTTATCCTATGCCTGTGCCTGCAAATATAGGAGCCTATACCTGCCCCGGGATTGCTATATGATTCAAGGGCAAATACAGGACCCTATATCTACCTCAGGATCACTGTATGATTCAAGGGAAACTATAACGTCCTATACCTGCCACAGGATCAGTATATGATTTGAGGGAAAATACAGTGTCCTATACCTGCCCCTCACAAATATAGGAGCCTATACCTCCTCCTGCAAATATAGGATCCTCTACTTACCCCGGAGCTGATATATGATTTAAGGGCAAATATAGGAGTCTGTACCTGCCGCTGGTTATCCTGTACCTGTCCCTGGAAATAAGGATCCTATACATGCCTTAGGACATCCTTTACCTCCCCTGCAAATATAGGAGCCTATACTTGCCGAAGGATCAGTATATGATTCAACAGCTGATATAGGAGCCTATATCTGCCCTGGGATTGTTTTGTGATTCAGGGGCAAATATAGGACACTGTGCCTATCCCCAGGACTCCATACGTGCCCATATGGGCACATACGTGCTCCCAGGGGCAGGTATAGGATCCTGAAGCAGAAGTTAAATCCTGCACAACCTGGGCGGCCTGCAAAAATCAACGCAAAGGGGATTTTTTTTTTTTTTTTTCCTGGGGAAGCCCCCCAAAAAACCCCCTTCCGAGGCAAAGGCGTTGCAAAAAATCACCTAAAACTCCCACGGCACCCAGCGGCCGGTAAATCACCAAACTGAACCCTATTTTTGAACAAAACCCCATTTTTTTTTAGGACAAAAGCCCCTCCACTGGTGCAACCAGAGCTGCACAGAATTTGAGCATCTTCATCCCTTCCATCATCAATGGGGTCCAGCACCCACATGGGCTGGTTTTCGGGGTGGATTTGGGTAGAAAAGGGATTTTTTTTTTTTCCCCCTTTTTTTTTTTTTTTTAATACTGCTTACTTCCCAAAGTAAATCTTTCCCTCCTCATCCTCGCAGAGAGTTTCCAAGCTGGAGCTCAGCTCCCTGAAATGCTCCAGCTCCGGCTTATCCATCTTTTTGGGGCCATTCTCTCCGGATCCAAGGTAACATTGGGAAGCGGTTGGGGAGGACTTGGGATCATCATCCAAGCGATAAACCCCAAAGCTTTATTTATCCCAAGCGAGATAAACGCTGGAATTAAACTGCTTAATTTTCAAAAGCCTTTAAAAGTCATATTTAAAATTCCAGCCCTAAATTCAGTGCGTTTACCTCAAAGAAAAAAATTAAATTAAAGAGGGGTTTGAGTTGAAGCTGCTCATTCACCACCGGTTCAGCTCTGGGCTGGCAGATGAGAATTTCTCGGCTGAATAAATCTGAGCAGAAATAGCTTTTAATTAACCCAGGGCTTAAAGATCAGGATTTAATTAATAGCTCTGAAATTTGCTTTAAATTAATCTGCACACGCCCAGGAGCGGGGTGCAGCGAGCTGGGTAAAACCTGCAGGGCCGGAGACGTTGAGCCTCCGCCTTAATAAGTCGGGAAAAGGATTTTCAGACCGCGACAGGCGCCACAAAAATCCCGGTTTCCCCCCCACCCTCCTGACAGCCCAACGCGCTGCGGGCCATCACGCCGGCGGCGGTGGAGGTGCTGCTGGGGGTGCTGCAGCGGGGAGGCGGGGGGACCCCCCCGGACCCCGGGTTGTTGGAGCTGGCGTTACGCGGCGTGGTGGCCGTGGTCCACGTGCTGCACGGCGGCAGTCCCGGCGCCGGCCCCGTGCCGTTGCGTGTCCTCCTGGACGGTTACTTCAGGGTGCTCAACTCGGACCTGCCCGTCGCTTCGGTGGCGCCGGAGGCGGCCGGTGGCCTCATCGCTCTCCGGGTGCTCATGCTGGGTAAGGTGGTCGGGGATGGGGATGGATCTGAGGGGCGGGGGGGAGTGGTGGCGGCGGGACGCGGGGTTTGGGGCTGAGCCAACTCCACCTCGTCGTAGATGCCATCCCGGCCATGCTGAGCTGCGAGGACCGGCCGGTCCTCCAAGCCGTCTTTCTCAGCAACAACTGCTTCGAGCACATCATCCGACTCCTCCAAAACAGCAAGGTTGGTGTCCCCCACCCTCGGTGACACAAGAGTTGGGCGCCTTCGTCTCCAGCCTCACCTTCCCTGGCTCTAAACGATGGCCGGGCAGGGTGGCTGCGCTGCAGCAGCATCCGTGGGGTGGGGGACCCTCCATAACCCCTTCCCCTCTTCCCCCCCACGCCGTACTGGGTGCCGTTCCTCGGGGCTGACACCCACCCCGTGTCCCTCAGCTCTACCTCGGCGGCTCACGGGAAGCAGGTGAAGCCCGGGACAAGGGCCCCGCGCGGTCTCCGGATGAGGATGGGCTCCAGCAGGTAGCGCGTGGGGCCACCCCATAACCAAGTGGGGCCACCCGATAACCAAACTGCCAGCCGCGGGTGGGCTGTGTCCCCTCAAGCCCCTAGCTCAGCAGACCCACCACCCCTCTGTCCCCGTAGGCTTTCGACGGCAGTTCCGACGCCATCGCGGTCCACGCCGTCGGGGTGCTCACCGCCATCATGAGCAACTCGCCCTCGGCCAAGGTGGGCAGCGGAGTTGGGCATTTTTCACCTTGTGAGGTGGGCTGGGGTGAAAGCAGCACGTGGTGGGGCTCGGCACAGGGTCCCACCTGCCTGGGTGTTTGCAGGAGGTCTTCAAGGAACGCATCGGCTACGCCCACCTCTACGAGGTGTTGAGGAGCCAAGGCCAGCCAACCCGACGCCTGCTCCAGGAGCTCCTCAACATGGTGAGCAGGCTCGCTTCTCCTCCAAGCGAAGCCCTCGGCGCTGGTGGTTCATGGTAGATCTCTTCCCCCAGCAGCCCCATTCCTTGTCCCTCAGTCCTCTCCACCCTGCTAGTTTCCCGTCATCTTCCTCCTGAAGGATCTTGGTGCCATCTTTAGCTTGGAGTCATGCTCAGCTTTGGGGAGTTTTGAGCCCTTTCTGATATGGTACTGCTTGCTCCGGTACTGCTAGGTGTGGTAGGGTCTCCAAGGTGCCTGATGCACGAGAGTCTCCAAGACAGTAGATACATGGGGGTCTCCAACATGCCTGATGCACAGGAGTTTCCAAACTGCTTGGCAAATGAGGTCTTCAAAATGCTTGATGCATGAAGTTCCTGATATATTTGATGCACGGGAGGTCTCCAAGACCCTTGATGCACAGGGGGTCTCCAAGGCCCTTGATGCACGGGAGGTCTCCAGGGCCCTTGATGCACGGGAGGTCTCCAGGGCCCTTGATGCACGGGAGGTCTCCAGGGCCCTTGATGCACGGGAGGTCTCCAGGGCCCTTGATGCACGGGAGGTCTCCAAGGCCCTTGATGCACGGGAGGTCTCCAGGACCCTTGATGCACGGGAGGTCTCCAGGACCCTTGGTGCACGGGGGTCTCCAAGACCCTTGATGCACGGGGGTCTCCAAGACCCTTGATGCACGGGGGTCTCCAAGACCCTTGATGCACGGGAGGTTTCCAAGACCCTTGATGCACGGGAGGTTTCCAAGACCCTTGATGCACGGGAGGTCTCCAAGACCCTTGGTGCACAAGGATCTCCAAGACCCTTAATGCACGGGAGGTCTCCAAGACCCTTGGTGCACAAGGATCTCCAAGACCCTTGGTGCACGGGAGGTCTCCAAGACCCTTGATGCACGGGAGGTCTCCAAGGCCCTTGATGCACGGGGGTCTCCAAGACCCTTGATGCACGGGAGGTCTCCAAGGCCCTTGATGCACGGGAGGTCTCCAAGGCCCTTGATGCACGGGAGGTCTCCAAGAGCCTTGGTGCACGGGAGGTCTCCAAGACCCTTGGTGCACGGGGGTCTCCAAGACCCTTGGTGCACGGGAGGTCTCCAAGACCCTTGGTGCACGGGAGGTCTCCAAGACCCTTGGTGCACGGGGTTCTCCAAGAGCCTTGGTGCACGGGAGGTCTCCAAGACCCTTGGTGCACAAAGATCTCTGGTATGCTTGATATACGGGCGTCTCCACTGCCAGCCCAGGGTGACCAGGGGCCGGATCCATCCCTCTTGACGGGCTCAGTGCTACACCAACCAGCTCTTGTGTTTTGGCAGGCAGTGGAAGGCGACCACAGGTCTTTCCCGGTGCGCCCCATCCGCAACGAGCAACCCTTGCTCATCCTGCTGGCCTGGCTGCCGGCGCTGGCGTGCCGGGAGCTGCAGGTCTTCCTCTCGGACTGGCTGCGGCGGCTCTGCGAGGCCTCCCTGCCCAGCCGCCTCACCTGCGTCAAGGCGGGCATGGTGGGCTGCCTCCTGGGTGCCCTGGCTACCGAGCCAGCGCTGCCGGCTGCCTGTTCCGAAAATTTACTGGAGCTGCTGCGAGCGTTGGGCAGCCTCTCCATCCGCCCCGGGGAGCTGCGGCAGCTGCTGCGGCTGCTGCGGCACGAGAGGGGTCGGGGAGCCCACCCCTACGCGGCGCCCGTCATCCGGGCGCTCTCGGGGATGGCGCGGGTCGAGGGACCCCCCCGGGCGCTGCAGTGCTTCGACCTGACACCCGGTATGGCGGGGATCATGGTGCCCACCGTCCAGAAGTGGCCCGGCGGCGCCTTCGCCTTCCACGCCTGGTTGTGCCTGAGCGAGGAGGAGCCTGAGCCGCCGGCGAGGCCGAAGAGGAGGCAGCTCTACAGGTGATGCTCAACAGAGGGCCTGGCGGGGCTGAGGTGAGGATGAGGATGGGCAGCACCCCCCCCCGTCCCTACCGTGCTTCGCCTCCAACAGCTTCTTCACAGCCGGCGGGACGGGCTTCGAGGCGTTCTTCACCACCGGCGGCGTGTTGGTGGTGGCCGTCTGCACCAAGAAGGACTACATGACGGTGGCACTGCCGGAGTTTGCCTTCAACGACTCGGCTTGGGTGACCGTCACCCCCCATCCCCACCCCTGTCCCGCTCTCCCACCCCCCCATCAGAGGGGGCAACGAGGACATTCACGGTGCCTGATGCCCCCTCCTTGTCCCCCCAGCACTGCGTTGACATTGTCCACATCGCTGGCCGTCGGCCCTTCGGGCAGAACGTCGTCAGCATCTACGCCGACGGGCACCTGCGGAAGACGGCGCAGCTCCGCTTCCCCTCCCTCCATGAGGTGGGTGGGGGGCCCCCCCTCTCCCGCCGGTGCCCAAGCAAACCCCCTCCCCGCGGCACGCGGCCGGGGGCTTGAGCACGACTCCTTCTCCCTTCCAGTCCTTCACCTCCTGCTGCATCGGCTCCGCGGGCCACCGGACCACCACCACCACTGCCACTGCTGCTGGCCACCCGCCTGCGTCCCACGGGCCGGAGCTGGTCTTCCCCCCGCACCCCACGCTTGGCCGCTCTCAGTCTGTCCCTGCCGCCCTGGGCCCCTACGCTTGGACCCCCACGCAGCCCCCCACGGAGGGGGTCGTGGCCACCACGGCAGCCGGCAGCCAGGACACCGAATGGGGCAGCCCCACCTCCCTGGAGGGTCACCTCGGCTCCGTGGCCATCTTCTGCGAGGCTCTGCAGCAAGCCCAGGTCAAGGCGCTCTTCTGCGCGGGTACGTCAGGGTGGGACGCAGGGGACATCCACAGGGGTGCTGGTGGCAACTGGGGTCTCCTCTACCGTGCCCCAGCTCATCCCCGTCCTCTTCCCCCCCAGGACCAAACGTCACGTCACCGTTTGCGCTGGAAGGGGACTTGGTGGAGCTCAGCAGCAAACTCTTGCTCTACTACACCCCACAGGTGAGGAGAGCCCCCCGCCCTGGGGACAAGGACAGCACTGGTAGACCTTCTACCGTAAGTGACATCTCCAGGAGCATGAGGATGCTCCCATGGTGCTCTCTTCTAGGCCTGCAGGAACAACATCTGTCTGGACCTCTCTCCCAGTCATGGCTTGGATGGGAGGCTGACGGGGCACAAGGTGGTCAACTGGGACATCAAGGTACGCTGGGCGCAGGGTGGCCCGTCATGGCCCGTCCGTCCCATGGTGTGGAGTCAGCTGGGCCCCTCCTGGGGTACGAGGCCAGAGTAGGACCCCCACGAGATGTTGGGTGGCCTTGGTGGTTCCCCTTGACCCTACAGGGACTCTGCCACAGGGCATTGGGTCCACCAGGGACCTGCGCGACGAGTCCCCTAAGGACCCGTTTGCCCCATAGGTCCTCAGCATCCAGGGTGGGCACCAGAGGTGGTGCAGGGGAACGGGTGCTTTTTGGGGACCCGTTTTAGGTTTGTGCTGTAGGCACACCCCGATCTTTGCTAGCCACAGGGCCTGGCTCTCCCCAGCTCAGGCCGAGCCCATGAGCAGGCGGGACGGACCCTGGGTGCATGTGCAACCTCCTCCTCCACGCGGCCGTCACCACGCAGCACCCAGCAAAGCTTCTCGCCTCCCTCCGGCAGGACGTGGTCAACTGCGTGGGTGGGATGGGCGTGCTGCTGCCCCTGCTCGAGCAAGTGGTGTCCAAGAAGGAGGAGCCCGAAGATGAGCAGGAGACCAACGACCTGGTGGGACCAGAGCTGACGTCCTCCAGGAACGCTCAGGGCATGCTCATCCCGCTGGGCAGGTCCTCAGGTGAGGACCTCGTGGGACGTGAAGCAGGATCTGTCCTGCTCAGGTGGCTGGAGGGTAACCCTGTTGCCACGTAGGTGCTGCCTGGACCAGGCTGGTGTCTACCACAGGCAGGAGAGGACTTGCCTGAGGCACCAAGAGTTACGGGGTAATGGAGAAACCGTTGACATCTTTTAATGTTGTTATGACCCAATGAGTCATAAATAAGCAGTTCTGGGAAGATGAAGGTGGCTCCAGCTTGCTTTACCTCCGGCTTGCCTTTGCTTGGAGTCTCTGATGTCTTGTAGTAGGACTAGGTTCATGCAGGAGCCTTCTCCTGCATAGGTGAAACGGGCTTTCTCCCAATACCCAGCTGCTTATTTCCAACCTCAGAGCAACGGAGGTTTCCACTCACGTAAAACTGGAGGAAACAGGCTGAAAAGTTCGCAGAGAGAAGGTGACGGTGGGGTCTCCAGGTTGCCCCTTGCAGGCAGATGATGCAGGCAGCGCTGTCGAAGGTGTTTGGGTGGGCACAGGGCTCACAGCCACCGGTGGGGCTCTGCCCTGTGCCTTGCAGAGAGCAGGCTGGAGAGGAACAGCGTGGCCGCCTTCCTGCTGCTGGTGAAGAACTTCATCCAGAACCACCCAGTGAACCAGGAGAGCCTGGTGCAGTGCCACGGACCGGCCATCATCGGGGCGCTGCTGCAGAAGGTGGGGGGGATGCTACCAAAGGCTCCATCCCACGGTCCCCGGGGCCGTTCCCCAAGGGGGAGGTCGGGGCTCTAAGCCTCCCTTCTTGCCCATGGCAGGTCTCCAGCCCGCTGCTGGACATGAGCACGTTGATGGCCTCGCAGATCCTCATGGAGCAGGTGGCCTCTGAGGGCAGCGGGCTCCTGCTGCACCTTCTCTACCAGCATCTCCTCTTCGACTTCCGCATCTGGAGCAACAGCGACTTCGCCGTCCGCTTAGGTGGGAACTGGGAGGTGGTTGGGGGCTGTTCTCCATCCCAGCCGGCCTCCACAGCTGCTCACATCTTCTCCCTCCAGGTCATATCCAGTATCTGGCCAACGTTGTAAAGGACCACAAGCAGCGCATCCGCAAGAAGTACGGGGTGCAGTACGTCCTCGACTCCATCCGGACGTACTACGGGTGAGCTGAACCCCCTAACACTGACATGGTGGTGGGCTTCGCCCCTTGGAGCTACAGTTTGAGGCAGACACTCTTTGCTTGGGGAAATATCTCCCCTCCGAGCACCTCATGGGAGAACCTTCCAGTGTGGGAGCATGGTGGTGGGCGCAGGACCTTCCACTCCCCATGGCCATGCCTCATTCCCAAACCTCCACCCAGATCTCTGACCCCAAATCCACACCGCCCCCCCCCCCCCAGTGTCTCACCAGCAGCAACTGGGATCATGGTGGTTTCTGCAACGAGCTGATGCGCTTTGCTTGTCTGACCCGATGCGTTTCCGCACGCCCGTGACACTGGGGTTGCTCGTACCCTGCAGAGACCCAAACGTGTGGGGCGGATGTTTCCCAGTGGGCAGGGTTGGCCAGAAGGAATATCCACACTGGGCTGTCTTGGAGCTCCTCAGGCTTCATGGTGGGATTTGGGATCATGCTGGCGATGGGTGACAAGGGGCGAGGGGGGTGGCTGTGCACGTCCCCAGAGGGAATGCCCACGCGTGTCTGTCCATCAGCACCTCCAGGGAGAAGACCACAGCCGCCGACGACATCAAAACAGTGCAGACTTCCCTCTTCAGCCTGGTGAAGGATTTCTTCTGCAGGAGCTTCTCTGGGGAGGAGATGCAGAGCTTGCTGAACTACGTGGCCGGGGCACAGGATGAGCAGCAGGTATGGCACCAAGCCACCTGGGTCCCCAAACGCCTCCATGCGCCGTGGGCTCACCCGGTGCTCGGCAGCAGATAGGGAGAAGTCATTGAGGTCCTGGTGGGGCGCACGGAGGGCAGTGGACAACCGGCCCCGTGTCCTGCAGGTCTGCGGGGCACTGGAGGTGATCCACAGCCTGCTGAAGGGCTCGCCTGCCCAGGAGCAGCTCTTCACCTTCCTCTTTGAGCCAGGCCACGTGGAGGTCCTCTTCTCACTGCTGGTGCAGAAGAAGTTCTCGGATGAAGTGCGGGAGAGGGTCTTCAAGGTAAAGCAGGTCCCTAGCGCCAACCTCTTGCCATCTCCATCAGCTGGGGACTTCGCTGCAGCGGGGTGGCCACTTCTCTCTCTCTCTCTCTCACCAGGTCCTCTACAAGATGCTGAAGTACGAGAAGGTCCCTGAGCGCAGCAAGAACCGCCTGAAGCTGAAGGACATCGGGTACCAGGGGCTCATCGCCTGCCTCAGTGACGTCCCCAGCTCCATGCTGCTCTTCCGCTGCCTCTCGGAGCAGGTCCTCGGGGCAGGTACCATGTGCCCTTACAAAACCAGGCTGGCCACCCGTCCTGAACGCGTGCCATGGGGTCATGACTGGTGGCTTCCCATGAGGCTCAGCTGGTCTTGGGGATGGGGGGTCTTTGGTGGCTTTTGGAGACAGAAGGAGGTGTCCCACCACAGTACTGTCTCTCCTTGTCCATAGACCCTCCCAACTACAAGGACCTAGTGGCTGTGGTTTACCTGTCTCACCGGGCTGAGCTGACCGTCCGGCTCGATATTTGCCGCAAGGTGAGCAGGCCCGTGGGTGCAAGGGGCTGTGACTGAGTTGTCACCTGGGGGCTGAGCTCCCTGGGCCATGCCCAAACGTAGGGACCATGGGGATGGTGGTACCTCCCCATGCGTGGGGCCGCCAGTGTGTGGATGTGCCACCGTGGAGGTGGCGCAGCCCCAGCACCCCGTGATGGTTATGGAGGATCTGGGGTGCTCAGAACCAAGCATCCTGCCCCTTGGAGGGGACGACCCACCAGGAACTGGGGCAACATCATCGGGTCTCCCCTCCCCCCTTGCTTTCTCTTGCAGCTCTTCCACTTGATCTACGGGCAGCAGGACATGGTGAAGCAGCTGGCGAGGTTGGCTGGCTGGCAGGACACGCTCACCAAGCTCTACGTCAAGGAGTCCTATGAGTCCCGCCAGCACAGCCTGAGCAACGCGGGCAACGGGGGCTGCCTGGAGCTCCTCCGCCTCTCGGACCCCTCCAGCAAGGAGGGGGTGAGCCCACCACCAGCTGAGCTGCAGGAGCTGGACGTCTTCCTGCCACTGGGCTACGAGGCCTCAGACCAGGAGCTCTCTGAGGGCTTCTCCGACCACTCCATCTCCCCCAGCGGCCACACCAAGTCCTTCCACTCTTACCACTTCAAGTCTTTCGACTCCTCCGACCGGGCCAGTCGCTCATCCTCCAACCCTGGCGATGGTCCTCCCTTCGATGGTGTCTACCACCCGCTCTCACCCTTCTCCACCTCACCCTTTGACCTGGGTCTTGACCTGGCCAGCACCAGCTCCATCGCCACGGCCGAGAGCGGCACACAGACCCCCGCCAGCGGCCCTGGCACCCCCTCACCCCTGGAGAGCTTCAAGCCCTTCCCGGGAATGCGAGCGCGCAAGAGCTCCAGCCTCTCAAACGTCCTAGATGAGAGCAGCTACCAGGATGCGCTGCCCAGTGACAACGTCTCCAACACCAGCAACCCCCAGGTGAGCCCCAAACCGTCGTGCCCACCACCCTGGGCTACGCTGGGCACCGGAGTGCTCATCCTTCCTCTCCCGTTGACAGCAAACACCCGAGGAGGAGCTGTGCAACCTCTTGACCAACATCATCTTCTCGGTGACTTGGCGTGGGGTGGAAGGCTGGGACGACGACGCGTGGAGGGAGCGCGGGCAGGTCTTCTCCGTCCTCACCAAGCTGGGGACGGCGTGCGAGCTGGTGAGGCCCCCTGACGAGATCAAGCGCAGGTGAGTCCTACCCAGGTCCGGGTGGGGGCATCCCTCCCGAGGGAGGACCACCCTACGGAGCCACCTGCTCTCCGGCAGCCTCCTGGAGATGATGCTGGAGTCGGCGCTGACGGACCTGAAGGAGTCGGGGCCGGCCACCCTGCCCGGTCTCACCCACAATGCCCTCAAGCTGCTGCGCCTGCTCCAGGATTTCTTGTTCTCCGAGGGACACAACAACCAGGCCCTGTGGAGCGAGAAGGTGGGTGGGCACAAGCGGGGGGGTTCCTGATCCCAAACCTGAGCTCTGAGCCCTAATGCCAACCCCTGGCCCCTGATGTTCGCCCTAACCCTAAACCCTGCCCCTACCTGGAGCCCTTCAAGCTAACCTCTGTGCCTTATTCCTAAACCATAACTCTAACCCACGACCAGTAAATCAAATCCTAACCCTAAACCTCAGCCCTAGCCCTACGCCCGTGCCATAAACTCCAACTCTAACCCTAAGCTTTAAACATAACCCTGCACCCTTGCTCTGAAGCCCAATCCTATACCCTAGCCCTTAATTCTAATCCTTAACCCCAATCCTGCAACTTTATGATAAACCCAAATTCGATACTCTAATCCTATATGTTAAGATCTGACCCTAAACCCTATCCCTCACTCCTAACCAGTAAATCTAACACCTGCTGTAAACCCTAACCCCTAATCCTAAGTGATAACCTTAACCCTACACCCTTACCATAAATCCAATCCCCTAGCCTTATACCATAAGGCATAACCCTAACCCATAACCCTAACTCGTAGCCTGTAAATCTAACCATACCTCCTAAATCCTAATCCTAAGCCTTAACCCTACATCATTCTCATAAACCACAACCCTTAATCCTAACCCTACACCCTTAATATAAACCAAAACCCCAAATCCTAACCTTAACTCATGACCTGTAATCTAACCGTACCTCCTAAATGCAAACCCTAAATCTTAACCCTACATCCTTGCCATAAAGCTCAACCCTAACCCCAATTCTACACCCTAGCCCTAACCACAGTCCTAAACCTTAACCCTAACCCCACAACCTTACTGTAAATATAACCCTATACTCTAACCCCATATGCTCAGATCTAACCCTAAGCCTTATCCCTAACTCATATCCATAACTCTTGCTATAAACCCTAACCCTACACTATTGTTGGAAACCCTAATCCTGATCCTAAACCCTGACCCTAACCCTTAAACCTAAACTTTAACCTTAACCCTGCACCCTCACTGTAAACCCAAAACCCCAGCCCTATACTCTAAGGTCTAACCCTAAACCATAACCCTAATTCATAACTGTACCTCCTAAATCCTAATCCTAAACTTTATCCCTACATCCTTGCCATAAACCTCAGCCCTAACCCCAATTCTGTGCCCTAGCCCTAAACCCAATCCCAACCCTTAACGCTAACCCTACAACTTGACTGTAAACCGAAATCCTAATCCTATACCCTACAACCTAACCTTCACTCATAATTTATAAATCTAACTGCACCTCCTGAATCCCAATCCTAAACCTTGACCCTACATCCTTCCCATAAACCTCAACCCTAACCCCAGTTCTATACCCTAGCCCTAACCCCGGTCCTAACCCTTAACCCTCACCCTACACCCGTACCGTAAACCCATACCCTAAACCCCAACCCATAAACCTTATGCCAAACCTCAACTAGCTTGTCATTAGTGTTACGAGTTGGGGCTCTACCCTACCCCTAAACCCTAATCCTAACCCCTGCCCGCAACCCAAACCCAGGTCAAGCAAAGCCGAGGGTGGCTGGGTGATGGGTTAGACCTGGTGGCTTTGCGGAGGGGTTTGGCCGGGCAGGGGGCGGGGGGGCTCACTGTGCCCCCACTCCCCCCCCAGATCTACGAGGGGGTGAGCAGTCTGCTGGACAAACTGGGCGTCTGGTACCACCTGGCCAACGGCACCTCCGACCTCAAGGAGATGGCCCAGACGGGTCTACGCGTCCTCGTAGGCTACATCATGCTGCAGGACCCGCAGGTGGGTCACTCCTTCCTGGGCCTCGGGGTGAGACCCCAGCCCGTGGTGGCCCCCATTTGATGTCCCGTGTGTGTGTGTGTGTCCCCACCTTGCCTTCAGCTGCACTCGCTGGCGTACGTGAAGCTCCACAGCCTGCTGCAGACCGCCTCAGCCCCCAAAAAGGATGAGGCCTGCTACCTGCTGGGCAAGCTGGAGACCCCGCTGCGACGCTCGTTGGACGCCAAGTCGGAGACTTTCTCCTGGTTGGTGCCCATCGTCCGCACGCTCATGGACCAGTGCTACGAGACCCTGCAGCTGCACCTCTTCCTGCCCTCGCTGCCCCCCACCAACGGCAGCCCCACTTTCTATGAAGACTTCCAGCTCTTCTGCACCACGCCGGAGTGGAGGGCCTTCATCGAGAAGCACGTGGGTGCCGTGGGGCGTGGGGTGGCACTGCTGTTGGGGAAACACCTTCCCATGCTGAGAGATGGGTCCGTGCTGTGGTGGGATCCCCGTGTCACCGGGTGGGGACAGCAAGGGTGACCTCCAGGGCAGGGATGCTCATAGCCCGAGTGATGGTTGGTGGGTGCCAAGCCTTGCAAACACCTCCCTTCTCCTTCTGGTTCTCTCGGTAGGTGCAGCCCACCATGGCCCAGTTTGAGATGGACACCTTTGCCAAGAGCCATGACCACATGTCCAATTTCTGGAACTCCTGCTACGATGCCATGATGAGCAGCTCCCAGCGGCGGGAGCAGGAGAAGGCGGTCAGCCGCAGGATGTTCCAGGTACTGCCTGCTCCTCGCCCCTGAGATGTCACCTTGGGGATGTCCAGTAGCTAAAGGGGACCTACAAGAAAGCTGGAGAGGGACTTTCTACAAGGGCATGTAGTGATAGGATGAGGGGTAACAGTTTTAAACTGAAAAACGGTGGATATAGGTTAGATCTAAGAAATTGTTCCCTGTGCGGGGGGGGAGGCGCTGGCCCAGGGTGCCCAGAGCAGCTGTGGGTGCCCCCTCCCTGGAAGGGTTCAAGGCCAGGTTGGACAGGGCTGGGAGCCCCCTGGGCTGGGCGAAGGGGGCCCTGCCCGGGGCAGGGGGATTGAGACTGGATGGTCTTTAAGGTCCCTCCCAACTCAAACCATTCCAGGATTCTATGTGCTCCTCATCTTGGGGACATGCTCCTCATCCCAAGGATGTCATCCAGGGGATGCGCTCCTTGCTCTGGGGATGTCATCCTAGGGACCTGCTCCTCTCCCTGGGGGTTTTAATCCTGGGGCTGTGCTCCTCATGCCGAGGATGTCATCCTGGGGGACATCCTCCTCAGGATGTGCATCTTAGCCCAGGGTCGTCATCCCAGGGTCATGGGGGTGAGCTTGTCACTCCAAGGATGTCATCCCGGAAACATGCTCCTCACTCTGGGAACATTAATCCTGGGGACGTGCTTTTCACCCTGGGAATGTGGGAATGTCATCCTGGGGAGATCATCCTTACTCTGGGGACATCGTCCTCAGGATGTGGGGACATCGTTCTGGGGACATGCTCCTCATCTTGGGGATGTCATCCCAGGGATGTTCTCATCATCCCAGGGACATCATTCCAGGGATGTGCTCCTCACCTTGAGTACATGCTCCTCACCCCAGGGACATCACCCAAGGACATCATCCTGGAGATGTGCTCCTCACCCCTAAGACGTCACCCTGGGGATGTGCTCCTCACTCTGGGAATGCCAGGGACATGCTCCTTGCCCCAGGGACATACTCCTCTTCCTGGGGACAATAATGCTGGGGATGTGCTCTTCATCCCAGGGATGTCATCCTGGGGACATGCTCCTTGCCCTGGGGTCACTGCCCTCAGGAGGTGCTCCTCATCCTGGGGATATCATCCTGGGGATGTGCTCCTCACCCCAAGGACATCGTCCCAGGGATGTGCTCCTCACCTCAGGGACATTCTCTTCACCCTGGGGACATCACCCCATGGACATGCTCCTCATCTCAGGGTTGTCCTCAAGCCCCAGCCCTGCTGTCACTTCACTCTCCTGCTCCCTTGGCAGGAGCTGGTGCTGGAGCCATCGTCAAAGCGCTCCAGGGCGGAAAATGCCCGGCACGCCAACGTGCTCAAGCAGGCCAACAACCACCACAGCACCGTGCTGAAGCAGTGGCGGTCCCTGTGCCGCCTCCTCACCTCGCCCCGCTCCGCCTGGGCCGACCGGTGAGCCCCTGCCTCCCATCCCTGGGGAGGGATGGCACGGCTGGGGGTCCCCAGGGTGCCTCACCCCCCCCACCTGCCCCCCAGGAACCCACCAGAGGTTCGCTGGAAGCTGTCGAGCGCTGAGACCTACTCTAGGATGAGGCTGAAGTTGGTGCCCAACCTGAATTTTGACCAACACTTGGAGGCCAGTGCCCTGCGGGACAATTTGGGTGAGGCTGATGGAGGTGGGGCACCCAAGGGTGCCCTCATGCCATGGGCAAGGGGTTGTCACCAGCTGGATGCACGTGGTGGGGTTGAACTGGGAGCTGTCATGGACCCTGTTGGGGTTAGGGGGTGGGATGGGGGCCCTTCAGAGGACTTTGTGACCCAGCTGTGGGGGGCCAGGAGGGCCTGCTGACCCCCTCCTCATTTCAGGAGCTGATCACCTCCACAACCCCGCTGAGTCCCTCCCGCTCGCCATGGCCAAGGAGGCCAAGGTGAGTGAACTGGAGGATGACCAACTGGCCGAGGAGGACCTCCCCGTCCTGGACAACCAGTGAGTGTCCCCATCCCTTGCCATGGTGCTGTCTCGCCCAGGCTGGGGGTGTCACCGGGGTCTCCTCGTCCCACTGTGTCACCCAGAGCTGAGCCCAAGGAGCAGAACCAGCGGGAGAAGCTGGTGGTCTCAGAGGACTGCGAGCTCATCACGACGGTGGCCGTGGTCCCCGGCCGCTTAGAGGTGACAACCCAGCACGTCTACTTCTACGATGGCAGCAGCGAGAAGGAGGAGACAGAGGGAGGTAACGGCATGTGCTCCTTTTGGGGGGCGGCGGGGGGGTCCCCCACCCATCCCATCTCCCTCAGAAGCCCGTCAGGCCGGGTGCTGGTTGTGTTGGAGGTGGGCTCCTCACGGCCCCAGAGCGATGCTGGCCCTGATCCCTGCCTCAAGATTGGGGGTCCAGGTGGATGGTGACACCCGTGGGGCTTCTGTGCCCACCACCCCCGCCCCGGTATCTCGACAGGGATCGGCTACGACTTCAAGCGCCCCTTGTCCCACCTGCGTGAGGTCCACCTGCGCCGCTACAACCTGCGCCGCTCCGCCCTCGAGCTCTTCTTCATCGACCAGGCCAACTACTTCCTCAACTTCAAAAAAAAGGTGGGTGGTGGCACCCTTCCCTCTACCGTCCCCAAAACCTTCCCGGTGCCACGGCACCGCCCGGACTGTGACCACTCCACATCTTCTCACTCAGGTGAGGAACAAGGTCTACTCCTGCATCCTTGGCCTGCGTCCCCCCAGCCAGATCTACTTCGGCAGCCGGTCGCCCCAAGAGCTGTTGAAAGCCTCGGGGCTCACACAGGTACTGGCCCCTCCTTGCCCAGCCCCACCCCATATCTCCTCTTCCTGGATGGCAAAGGGGAGGGTGCCAGCGTGGGACCAGGAATGGCCACGGGACTAGGAATGGTCTGAGACCAAGGATGGCCCGTGGGACCAGGGATGGCCATGGGTTGGAGATGGCCTTGGGACCAGGGATGGCCGTGGAATGGGGTGACCATGGGACCAGGAATGGTCTGAGACCAAGGATGTCCCATGGGACCAGGGATGGCCATGGGTTGGAGATGGCCTTGGGACCAGGGATGGCCATGGAATGGGGTGACCATGGGACCAGGAATGGTCTGAGACCAAGGATGGTCATGGGACCAAGGATGGCCATGGGTTGGAGATGGCCTTGGGACCAGGGATGGCCGTGGAATGGGGTGACCATGGGACCAGGAATGGTCTGAGACCAAGGATGGTCATGGGACCAGGAATGGCCATGGGTTGGAGATGGCCTTGGGACCAGGGATGGCCATGGAATGGGGTGACCGTGGGACCAGGAATGGTCTGAGAACAAGGATGTACCATGGGACCAAGGATGGCCATGGGTTGGAGATGGCCTTGGGACCAAGGATGGCCATGGAATGGGGTGACCATGGGACCAGGAATGGTCTGAGACCAAGGATGTCCCATGGGACCAGGGATGGCCATGGGTTGGAGATGGCCTTGGGACCAGGGATGGCCATGGAATGGGGTGACTGTGGGACCAGGAATGGTCTGAGACCAAGGATGGTCATGGGGCCAGGAATGGCCATGGGTTGGAGATGGCCTTGGGACCAGGGATGGCCATGGTATGGGGATGCCCAATGGCTGAGGGATGGCTGTGGGACCAGGGATGGCCATGGGACCAGGGCTGGTTGTGGGATGGGAATGGTCATGGGTTGGGGATGGCTGTGAGACCAGGGACAACTGTGGTGGCAGGGATGGTCCGAGACGGGATGGCCATGGGACGGGCACAGCCATGGGGTGGGAGTGTCTGCCCCATCTCCTGCCACCCCCAGCCCATCTCAGCCCCCCTCCCTTCACTCCAGAAATGGGTCCTGCGGGAGATCTCCAACTTCGAGTACCTCATGCAGCTGAACACGATCGCAGGGCGCACCTACAACGACCTCTCCCAGTACCCCGTGGTGAGCCCCGTGTCCCCTCCTCCGTCCCCCCCAGTGAGCTCGTGCCTTGCCCCAGCCTCACCCACCTCTCACCCCCACCCAGTTCCCCTGGATCCTGCGGGATTACGTCTCAGAGACCCTCGACCTCACCGACCCGGCCGTGTTTCGGGACCTGTCCAAGCCCATCGGGGTGGCCAACGAGCGGCACGCCCGGGATGTGAAGGAGAAGTGAGTACCCCAAAAACGAGGGGTGGGGGACGCAGGGAGGGCTTAGCTGGCTCCTGGTGCGCCCGCCCCGCCACGCACACCTCGCCCCCAGGTACGAGAGCTTCGAGGACCCCACGGGCACCGTGGACAAGTTCCACTACGGCACGCACTACTCCAACGCGGCGGGCGTCATGCACTACCTGATCCGCACCGAGCCCTTCACCACCCTCCACATCCAGCTGCAGAGCGGCAGGTGGGCAACCCAGTGGGTGCACCCCGGGGAGGGGACATTCTGGGGGACAAGCGGGCTCCGACCGGGTGTCCTGTGCCACCAGGTTTGACTGCTCGGACCGGCAGTTCCACTCGGTGCCAGCGGCATGGCAAGCCCGCATGGAGAACCCCGTGGACGTCAAGGAGCTCATCCCTGAGTTCTTCTACTTCCCCGAGTTCCTGGAGAACCAGAACGGTGAGGGGCACCCATCACCCCCGCCGTGGGGACAGCACCCGTGGGAGCGTGGCGGGGGTCGGGGTCCCTCACCCCCCCTGCCTTCTCTGCCTTCAGGTTTCGACTTGGGCTGCCTGCAGCTCTCCAACGAGAAGGTGGGCGACGTGGTGCTGCCCCGGTGGGCGCGCTCCCGCGAGGACTTCATCTACCAGCACCGCAAAGCCCTGGTGAGGTGGTGGAGCTCACCCAGACCTCTCCCTCCTCCACTCCCACCCCCTGGGGTGGGGTGGGCATTCCTGGCCCACCCTGATTTGCCCCATCCTCGGACAGGAGTCCGAGTACGTCTCGGCCCACCTCCACGAGTGGATCGACCTCATTTTCGGGTACAAGCAGCGAGGCCCGGCTGCCGTGGAGGCCCTCAACGTCTTCTACTATTGCACCTATGAAGGTGAGCGGTGGGGCAGGGAGGTGGGGGGGACACCTACCAGGTGGCCCCCCCCACGACCATCCCCATCCCCCAGGGGCCGTCGACCTGGACGCCATCGCCGATGAGACGCAGAGGAAAGCTCTGGAGGGCATCATCAGCAACTTTGGGCAGACGCCCTGCCAGCTGCTCAAGGTAGCTCCTACCCCCACCCCCAAAAACATATAACCCTTTTTGGGGGGCCGCCCCCCACCCCTTCTCATGCGTTCCCTCACCCCCTCCAGGAACCCCATCCTGCCCGGCTGTCAGCAGAGAGCGCTGCCCGGAGGCTGGCCCGCCTCGACACCCGTTCACCCAACGTCTTTGAGAACCTGGACCAGCTCAAGTCCTTCTTTGTGGAGGTGAGGACAACCCTGAGGGGGCGAGGGGGGGGTCCCTGGCCAGGACTAGGGGTGGGGATGGTGACCAGGAGGGTGCCCACTGGTTACTGTCTCCCCGCAGGGCATCAGCGATGGGGTGGCCCTGGTGCAAGCCGTGGTCCCCAAGAACCAGGCGCACTCCTTCATCACTCAGGGATCACCCGACGTCCTGGTGAGTGGAGGGAAACTGAGGCACGGGCGCGTGCTGCTAGCCCAGGGGGGCCAGGACCCAGACCCCAGGAGGTGGGAGCTATGTCACCTCCATCTCCATCTCTGCCCAGGTCACCGTGAGTGCCAACGGCTTGTTGGGGACCCATAACTGGTTACCCTACGACAAGAACATCTCCAACTACTTCAGCTTCACCAAAGACCCCACTGTCTCCAACGCAAAGTGAGTCGGGCACGTGGTCCCCAGGGGTGGTCCCTGGAGGTGCCACCAGCCCACCCGTGGCTCTGCCACCATCCCGTGTCCCTCCCCACCAGGACCCAGCGCTTCCTGCAGGGCCCCTTCGCCCCCGGCGCGGACCTCTGCTCCCGCACACTGGCCGTGTCCCCCGACGGGAAGCTGCTCTTCAGCGGGGGACACTGGGACAACAGCCTCCGCATCACCTCGCTGGCCAAAGGGAAGGTTGTTGGGCACATCACCCGGCACATAGGTACGTCCTCCAGCGATGGTGAAGGTCTGATGATGCCCCAATGGGTTTGTAGGGCCATGGGAACGCAGGGGACACGTGAGCGGGCAGGGGACATCTCCCAGTGTCTCCCGTCTTCTGGGGACAGGCCAGGCTCCATCGCAGAGCTGGGGTGGGGTTAGGGTTAGCAGGATCCCCGCACCCCAAAACACATCTTGGTGTCATCCCGCGGGGCCGGGGTGCCGAGCGTGGTGGAACAGGACCTCCTGGTGTCCCTCTGGGTGTCACAGATGTTGTCACCTGCCTGGCGCTTGACCTCTGCGGCATCTACCTCATTTCTGGATCCCGAGACACCACCTGCATGGTGTGGCAGGTCCTACAGCAGGTAGGGGGGTTGACCCTTACCCCACGCTCCGGCCGGGAGCTTGTGGTGGGTGCTTGCCACCAGGTCACCGAGGTCCCCGTGTCCCCAACACCAGGGTGGGTTTTCCAGTGGCTTGGCTCCCAAACCCGTCCAGGTCCTGTACGGCCACGACGCCGAGGTGACGTGCGTGGCCATCAGCACCGAGCTGGACATGGTGGTGTCGGGCTCCAAGGTGAGTTGGGGTGGTGGGGCGGGCGGCAAGGTTGGGGGGTGCCGCCATCGCTCCACCCGTGTCCCCTTCCTCCCGTAGGACGGCACCATCATCATCCACACCATCCGCCGGGGGCTCTTCATCCGGTCCTTGCGGCCGCCCGGTGAGAGCTCACCACCCGCCGTCCTCTCCCACCTGGCTGTGGGGCCGGAGGGGCAAGTGGTGGCCCAGACCGCCGTTGGTCAACGGGCCTGCTTGAAGGTATGGCCAGGTGTCCCTGCGCCCTCGCCCTCGTCCCCGTCAGCGCGCGTGGTGCCCCCCCTCTTCGCTCTGTCTTGCAGGACAGGTTCGCGCTGCACCTCTACTCGGTGAACGGGAAGCACCTCTCCTCCGTCCCCTTGGACGAGGAGGTGACCGCCATGTGCTTGACCGAGGACTTCGTGGTGCTGGGGACCATGCAGTGCGGGCTGGAGATCCGTGACCTCCAGAGGTAAAGGCTGCCACCCACCTTGCCCCACCTCAACCACCCCCTCGGGGTGTTCAGGGTGGGGCTCGAGGGGTCCCATCCCACCGTTTTTCTTCTCCCAGCCTCCGGGTGGCCGTGCCCCCCGTGCCCATGCGGGTGCCCGTCCACAGCGTCTCGGTCACCAAGGAGAAGAGTCACATCTTGGTGGGGTTGGAGGATGGCAAGCTCATCGTGGTGGGGGCTGGGCAGCCTGCTGAGGTGAGCGTGGTGGTGGGGCTGGGTGGGGGCTTGTGCCTCGGTGTCCACGGGGTGCTGCTGGTCTGGGGAGCTCTGCTTGTCCTCCTTGCCCTCTGGAGAGGAGGAGGACAGGGGTGGGGTGGGGTGGGGGAGATAAAGGGAGGAGGATGTGAGAAAGGGAAGGAGGTGGAGGTGAAGATGGGGAAGGGGGTGGAGGTGGAGATGGGGAAGGGGGTGGAGGTGGAGATGGGGAAGGGGATAGAGGTGAAGATGGAGAAGAGGGTGGAGATGGAGATGGGGAAGCGGATGGAGGTGGAGATGGGGAAAGGGATGGGGAAGGGGATGGAGATGGACACAGAGATGGGGAAGGGATGGAGGTGGACACAGAGATGGGGAAGGGATGGAGGTGGACACAGAGATGGGGAAGGGATGGAGGTGGACACAGAGATGGGAAAGGGATGGAGGTGGACACGGGGAAAGAGACAGGGAAGGGGATGGAGATGGAGATGGGGAAGGGGGTGGAGGTGAAGATGGGGAGGGGGAAGGGGATAGAGGTGAAGATGGAGAAGAGGGAGGAGGTGGAGATGGAGATGGGGAAGCGGATGGAGGTGGAGATGGGGAAAGGGATGGGGAAGGGGATGGAGATGGACACAGAGATGGGGAAGGGGATGGAGATGGACACAGAGATGGGAAAGGGATGGAGGTGGACACAGAGATGGGGAAGGGATGGAGGTGGACATGGGGAAAGAGACAGGGAAGGGGATGGAGGTGAAGATGGGGAAGGGGATGGAGGTGGAGATGGGGTAGGAGATGGGGATGAGGATGGAGATGGAGGTGGAGATGGACATGAGGAAAGGATGGAGGTGGACATGGGGAAAGGGATGGAGGTGGACATGGAGATGGGGAAAGGATGGAGGTGGACATGGGGAAAGGGATGGGGAAGGGGATGGAGATGGACACAGAGATGGGGAAGGGATGGAGGTGGACACAGAGATGGGAAAGGGATGGAGGTGGACATGGGGAAAGAGACAGGGAAGGGGATGGAGGTGGAGATGGGGATGGAGGTGAAGATGGGGAAGGAGATGGGGATGAGGATGGAGATGGAGGTGGAGATGGACATGAGGAAAGGATGGAGGTGGACATGGGGAAAGGGATGGAGGTGGGGAAGGGGATGGAGGTGAAGATGGGGAAGGGGATGGAGGTGGAGATGGGGAAGGAGATGGGGATGAGGATGGAGATGGAGGTGGAGATGGACATGGGGAAAGGATGGAGGTGGACATGGGGAAAGGGATGGAGGTGGACATGGAGATGGGGAAAGGATGGAGGTGGACATGGGGAAAGGGATGGGGAAGGGGATGGAGATGGACACAGAGATGGGGAAGGGATGGAGGTGGACACAGAGATGGGAAAGGGATGGAGGTGGACATGGGGAAAGAGACAGGGAAGGGGATGGAGGTGGAGATGGGGATGGAGGTGAAGATGGGGAAGGAGATGGGGATGAGGATGGAGATGGAGGTGGAGATGGACATGAGGAAAGGATGGAGGTGGACATGGGGAAAGGGATGGAGGTGGGGAAGGGGATGGAGGTGAAGATGGGGAAGGGGATGGAGGTGGAGATGGGGAAGGAGATGGGGATGAGGATGGAGATGGAGGTGGAGATGGACATGGGGAAAGGGATGGAGGTGGACGTGGAGATGGGGAAAGGATGGAGGTGGACATGTGGAAAGGGATGGAGATGGGGAAAGGATGGAGGTGGACATGGGGAAAGTGACGGGGAAGGGGATGGAGATCGGGATGAAGGTGGAGAAGGAGAAGGGGATGGAGATGGGGAAGAGATAGAGGTGGAGGTGGAGATGGGGAAGGGGATGGAGGTGAAGATGGAGATGAGGAAGGGATGGAGTTGGAGATGGGGTAGGGATGGGGAAGGAGATGGAGGTGGTGATGGGGAAGGGATGGAGGTGGGGAAGGGATGGAGATGGAGATGGAGGTGGGGTTTGGAAAGGGGACGGTGCTGGGAGAAGCGCTGGGGCCAGGGGTTTGGAAGGGGAAGGGGCTGAGTGTGGGTGGAGTGAAGGAGCGGGGCTGGAAGGGGATGTGTGGTGGGGCAGGGACGGTCGGGAGGGGAGGGAGATGAGGATGATGGGGGTGGGGGTGGGGAGAGGCCGAAGGCGAGGTGCTCACCAACCCACCCCCCCCAGGTGCGGCCCGGCCAGTTCCACCGGCGGCTCTGGCGTTCCACGCGCCGCATCTCCCAGGTCTCGGCCGGCGAGACGGAGTACAACCCCCCCGAGGGCAAGGCCTAGAGCCCCCCCCCAAAGGGGCACCCCCCGCACCCCCAAAAGCCAGGGTTGGGGGGAAGGGGGGGGAGCGGGCAGAGAGCCCCACACCCTGCTCAGCCCATCGCCTGTGGCCTTATCCAGCCCCCACTGTGGGGGGGGTATAAAATTGCCACACACACCCCCACACACACACACAATTTTAGGGGGACACGTCCCCCCTCCCTGAGGAGGGAGGGGGGAGGAGGAGGAGGAGGCAGGGACCCCTCGCTGGGAAGGGGGGTGCCATGTCCCTCCCCCCCCAACCCCACCCCACCATGCCCGCTGGCCAGGAGCCGACCGGTGTGTCCCCCCCCTCTTCCTGACCTGCCCCCCCCCCCTTCGCCTCACCCCGTTCCTTTTTTTTTTTTTTTTTCTATCCATTTTTAGATCTTTTACAGAAAAAAAAAAAAAAAAAAAAAAAAAAAAAAAAAGAATAATAATATATCTATGGGAAATACAGGCGTGCAAGTCTGCCCTGCGCCGGATGGGGGGGGGGGGTTAGGGTGACACCCCCTCTAACTGTGTGTGTGTCCCCCCTGAACTGTGGGGGGGGCCCAGCCAGCATGGGACACACGTGTCACGAGCGTGGGAGGGTCTCAGCAGCTGTCTGCCCCACATGTCTTGAGGGGGGGGGTGGGGGTGGTCTCAGCAACCCCGTACCCACATGTCACGAGCGTGGGGGGTCTCAGCAGCTGTGTGTGTCCCGTTCACACCCCCCCCCCCCCCGGCCCCATCCCACAAGCTGGGCTCTCAGCAGCCGTGTCTGCACGTGTCACGAGCACGTGCGGCCTCAGCCCTTGGCGGCCCCCCCTGCGCCCCACGTGTCACGAACGTGCCAGGTCTCAGCTGCCGTGTGCCCACGTGTCACGAGCATGGGAGGGGGGGGTGGAGGAGGAGGAAAAGGGGGGTGGGGGGGGCCTCAGCAGCCCCGCACACCCGTAGCACGAGCATGCAAGGTCTCAGCCCGTCCTTCCACGTCCCCTCCTGGGCACGGGGCTGTCCCAGGGTGGCCGAGTGTCCCCAGCCGCAGTGTCCGTGTCCTCCCCTGCCCCCCGTGTCCCCCCCTCCCCTTCCCTTCTCCCGGGGAGGGGGGCCCCACGGCCGGCAGCGACCTCTGTCCCCGGCCAAGGCTGGCTGCGGGTGCCCACGGCGTCACGTGGAGCTGCCACCAGCGCAGCCCGGGCGGGAGCAGCCGCGGCGCCGGACGGACGGATGGACGGACAGACGGACAGGTGGGCAAGGGGAGGGCCGGGCGCTCAGGGTGCCAACGGGGACCGTCAGCCCCTCACCCCCCCCACGGCCCGGTGGGGGGTGCCCCGGGTGATGGTGGGGACACCGAGGTCCCGCTGGCGGAGGAGCCGGGTGTCCCCGTCCCACCTGAGCCAGGACAAGAGGCCCAGTCCCAGACATCCCAGTCCCAAGTGTCCCTCGTCCCAGGTGCCCCAGGTTTCCCATTCCCATAGGTCCCAGTCCTGAGTGTCCCCGTTCCCAGTATCCCTGTCCCAGGTGTCCCAGTCCCACATGTCCCATTCCCAGATTTCCCATTCCCATAGGTCCCAGTCCTGAGTGTCCCCGTTCCCAGTATCCCTGTCCCAGGTGTCCCACTCCCACATGTCCCATTCCCAGATTTCCCATTCCCATAGGTCCCAGTCCCGAGTGTCCCTGTTCCCAGTATCCCTGTCCCAGGTGTCCCAGTCCCACATGTCCCATTCCCAGATTTCCCATTCCCATAGGTCCCAGTCCCGAGTGTCCCCGTTCCCAGTATCCCTGTCCCAGGTGTCCCAGTCCCACATGTCCCATTCCCAGGTTTCCCATTCCCATAAATCCCAGTCTCAAGTGTCCCTGTTCCCAGTTTCCCAGCCCCAGGTGTCCCACTCCCCAGTTCCCAACCCCCTATATCCCAATCCCCTATATGCCAGTCCCAGTGTCCCACAGAGACCGAGGGAGCCCCCAGGTTTGTGCCCACGGAGCGGGACACACGCACACACACCCCCCCCAGGGCTTACCCAAACCACCCCTCGGTGCAGGGTCCCGTGGGGGGGGCTCAGCCCACCAACCCCCAGCCCCCCACCCAAGGGACCCCCAGCAGCCACCTCTGCGCCCACGGGGGTGGGCTGGGTGCAGGTTTGGGTGCAGGGCTGGGTGCAGGGCAGGCTTCTCCCCCCCCCCCCCCCCCGCTTCCCCCCTCCCAGTAGCACCAGCGTGTGGCTGGGAGCCCCCCTGGAGCAGTTGCCCACCCCGGCGCTGACCCTGGACCGGGCGACGGTGCGGCGGAACGCCGAGCGCATGCGGGAGCGCTGCCGGGCCCTGGGCCTCCGCCTGCGCCCCCACGTCAAAACCCACAAGACGCTGTGAGTGTCCCCCCAGCATCCCCCCCAACTTCCCCCCAGCATCCCTCCAACATCCCCCCAACATCCCTCCAACCTCTCCCCATCATCCCCCCAACTTTCCCCAATTTCCCCCAACATCCCCCCAACATCCCCCCAGCATCCCTCCAACCTCTCCCCATCATCCCCCCAACTTTCCCCCAACTTCCCCCCAACATCCCCCCAACATCCCCCCAGCATCCCTCCAACCTCTCCCCATCGTCCCCCCAGCATCCTTCCAACATCTTCCCATCGTCCCCCCAACTTCCCCCCAACTTTCCCCCAACTTCCCCAACATCCCCACAGCATCCCTCCAACATCACCCTATCATCCCCCCAACTTCCCCCCAACATCCCCCCCAACTTCCCCTCAACAACCCCCCAGCATCCCCCCAACACTCCCCCACCTTTCCCCACAGCACCCCCCCATGTTCTGCACCAGCATCCTCCTAGTATCCCCCCAGCATCCCCCCACCTTCCCCCCCCAGCGTCTCCCCATCATCCCTCCAGCATCCTCCCAGTATCCCTCCCAGCATCCCCCATCCTCCCCTTCAACACCCCTCAACTTCCCCCCACCATCCCCCCACCTTCCCCCCAGGACCCCCCCACTCTCTACACCAGTATCCCCCCAGCATCCCCCCACCTTCCCCCCCCAGAATCTCCCCCATCATCCCTCCAGCGTCCTCCCAGTATCCCTCCCATCATCCCCCATCATCCTTCTCAATACCCCCACTTTACCCCCCAGTATCCCCCCCAGCATCCCCCCCACTTTACCCCCCAGTATCCCCCCCAGCATCCCCCCCACTTTACCCCCCAGTATCCCCCCCAGCATCTCCCCCATCATCCCTCCAGCATCCTCCCAGTATCCCCCCCCCCAGTCACCCTCTCCCCCCCCCAGCGAAGGTGCCGAACTGGCGACAGGCGGGACCCGCCGGGGCATTGTGGTCTCCACCTTGGCCGAAGCTCGTTTTTTTCGCCGCGGGGGGGTTCGATGACATCCTTTACGCCTACCCGCTGCCGGGGGGGCGGCTGGAGGAGTGCGCGGCCTTGGCCCGACGCCTCCAAACCTTCCAGCTCCTCCTCGACACCCCCCAGGCCTTGGCCCTCCTGCGCCAGCACCCGCTGCCCCCCGGCAAGCGCTGGCTCGTCTGGCTCAAGCTCGACTGCGGGAATGGCAGAGGTAAGTGCCCCCCCCCTCCCCCCCAAAAAAAAAAAATTAGCCCCCCCCTTTAAATCCTGCCAGCTCTTGGGGTGCTGTGGGGAGCGGGTTACAGAGCTGGAGCCTCACGTGTCCTCTCTAAGGGTATTTTCACACACTCCGCCCCCCCCCCCCCCCCAGAAAAAAATATTATTCAAGGGTGCTCCGTGCTCCACCAACCTCAAGCCCCCAGCCCCCCCACCTCAACTGGGATGGGGTATTTAAGCTGCTCCCCCCCACCCCCCCAAAAAAAAAAAAAAAGTCATTATTGAAGGATGCTTCATGGGGAGCAATGCCCCATGTCTCCCCCGCGGCCCCCCCATCTCAACCAGGATGGGGTATTTAACACAAACACCCCCCTCCCCCGTTATTCTTCAAGGGTACCCCCAGAAACCCCCATAATGGGGCATTTACCCCCAAACCCCATTTGCACCCACCCACCCACCACAAGGTGTTCAGGGGGGAGGAGATGCTCCATACACCCCCCCAGCCACCCCAGGATGGGCCATTTAAGCTCTCCCTCCCCCCCCAAAATCAGTCTTCAAGGACACCCCAGAAGACACCCCCCCCCAACAGGTTATTTAATCCCCCCCCCCCCAAAACCCCTTTTCCCCCCCACCCTCAGGATGCTCCACAGGGAGTGACACCCCATTTCCCCCCCAGCCCCCCTATCTCAACCAGGATGGGGCATTTCAATCCCCCCCCCCCAATCATTCTTCAAGGACACCCCATAACCCCCCCCCATCCCCCATAATGGGGTATTTAAGCCCCCCCTCCTCCCCAAACCCCCCTTTCCCCCCCCCTCCACCCCCAGGATGCTCCACAGGGAGTGACACCCCATTTCCCCCCCAGCCCCCCCCATCTCAACCAGGATGGGGCATTTCAATCCCCCCCCCCAATCATTGTTCAAGGACAACCCCATAACCCCCCCCCCATCCCCCATAATGGGGTATTTAAGCCCCCCCTCCTCCCCAAACCCCCCTTTCCCCCCCCCTCCACCCCCAGGATGCTCCACAGGGGGTGACGCCCCATTTCCCCCCCAGCCCCCCCCATCTCAACCAGGATGGGGCATTTCAATCCCCCCCCCCCAATCATTGTTCAAGGACACCCCATAACCCCCCCCCCATCCCCCATAATGGGGTATTTAAGCCCCCCCTCCTCCCCAAACCCCCCTTTCCCCCTCCCTCCACCCCCAGGATGCTCCACAGGGGGTGACACCTCGTTTCCCCCCCAGCCCCCCCATCTCAACCAGAATGGGGCATTTCAATCCCCCCCCCAATCATTCTTCAAGGACACCCCATAACCCCCCCCCATCCCCCATAATGGGGTATTTAAGCCCCCCCTTCTCCCCAAACCCCCCTTTCCCCCCCCCTCCACCCCCAGGATGCTCCACAGGGGGTGACACCCCATTTCCCCCCCAGCCCCCCCCATCTCAACCAGGATGAGGCATTTCAATCCCCCCCCCCCAATCATTGTTCAAGGACACCCCATAACCCCCCCCCATCCCCCATAATGGGGTATTTAAGTCCCCCCTCCTCCCCAAACCCCATTTTCCCTCCCCCCCCCCCCCCCCAGGATGCTCCACAGGTGTGTGTGTGGGGGGGTGACACCCCATGTCCCCCCTAACCCCACTCCCCCATTCCCACCATCCCACCCAACACGGGGCATCAAATCCACCCCCCTCCCCAAACCCCCACCCCCCCACCCCCCTTCCCCAAATCCACACCCCTGGACCCTTGTCCCACCCCCCCCACCCCCCCGCTTTGGCCGGCAGCCGGCGTTCGGCCCCGGGACCCCGGTGCCATGTCGCTGGCCCGGGCCATCGCCCGGGAGGCACCGGAGGTGGTGACACTGGTGGGGGTCTACGCCCACTGCGGGGACACCTACGGCTGCCGCGACGTCCCCGCCGTCCAAGCCATCGCCCGCGCCACCGCCACCGCCCTGCTCGACTTCGTCACCGCGTGAGTGTCCCCAAACCGGGGCTGGGCAGAGTTAAGGGGATTATTTTTATTTTTTTTTTTTTGGTTGGTTTGTTTTAAGGCGTCTCCAAGGTGGCCACCCCATAAAACACCCCCCCACACACCCCCCCACCCACACACACACAGTGGCTGTAAATGCAAATCACACCCCCACCCCCATCCCCAAAACACCCCCCCCCCTCATAAAATGCACAAACCCCCCCTGCGGGGAGATGAAGGAGGAGGAGGATGGTGGCTCCGGTCACCTTTGATGTGGCTTTGGTGGCGGGTTGTGACCTGTGTCATTGTCATCATCTCTGTGTGCTCTGTGTGTCTTCCCCCCCCCCCCAATTTTTTCTTTTGTCACCCTTTTGTCCCAGCTGGGTTTTGCATCCTGGAGGGAATTGCTGCCGGATGGCTCCTGCTGTGTGTGTGTGTGTGTGTAGGGGGGGGGGGGGGTGTGTTAAGTGATATGCCTTGGGACCCCCCATTCCCCCCCCTCTCCCCCACCCCCCCCCGCAACGGGGACGTGCTCCCTTGGGGACCCATCCCGGGGGGGGAGGGAGGGGGGGGTGGGGGCGCTCCAGTCCCAGCCCACCCAGTTGCGGCGGCGTTTTGCGGTGGGGAAACTGAGGCACGCAGGGAAATCTGCATCCTCCCCACCCCCCACCCCCACCCCAGCTCCCCTCCTATATTGGCTCTGGAATATTTTGGGGGGGGGCTTGAGCACATCTGTGGATTCCTGCGCACGTCTGCGGGTGCTCTGGCACATCGAGGGGAGCCCTGGAACATCTCGGGGGGGGGGGTTAAAACATCTGGAGAGAGCGTATGGGTGGCTCGCTGGCACATCTGGGGGGGTGGGGTCCTGCGCACATCTGGGGGTGCCATGGCACATCTGGGGGGCTCTGGCATGGGGGTGGGGGGAGGATCCCGGGTGTTTCTGGGGTGATGTCTGGCACATCTGGGGACGTCGTGGTACAACCGAGGGGGATCCCGGGCACATCTGGATGGATCTCGGGCACATCTGGGGCCTCTTGGGTGCAGCTGGTGGCACTCTAGCACATCTGGGGGGGTCTCCAGCATATCTGGGGGGCCGGGGGGGGTGTGTGTCTCTCACGCATCTGGGGGCTCCCATAAGCAACTGAGGGCTCCCAGGACCATTTTGGGGATGAGGGGGGTCCTCCAGTACATCTGGGGGGTGCTGAGGCACATCTGTGGGCTCCCAGCCACATCTGGGAGTGCTTGAAAACATCTGGGGGGGGGGAAACGGATCTCTGGCACATCTGGGGGTGATCCCAGGCACAGCAGGAGGGGGGTGCTCTGGCAGATCCAGAGGGGTGGCAGGGTGAGGGGGGGGACACACACACATCTGCCTTGAGTGTTCAGGGGGGGTTCTCTGTCATAACTAGACGCCCCCCCCCCCGAATGTTTTGGGGGGGGGGGGACTCCCTGGCACATCTGGACCTCCCTGAGGTATCGCCACCTCCGGTCCCTCCCCGGCAGCACCCAGGGGTGATAGCTCCCACCTTTCCTCCCACCCCCACGGTGCCTGGGGGAGGTTGAGGGGTGATGTGTGCTGGGGGGGGGGTGTGGGGGTGTGCCCCCCCCCCAACTCCCAGCCGTGCTCTGAGCGTCCCCGTGGGCCGGCAGGCTGCGGAGAGAGGGGGTGCCGTGTCCCCAAGCCGGCATCGGCTCCACGCCGTCCTGTAGCCACCCGGTACCAGAGATGGCCCAGCTCACCGAGCTCCACCCGGGCAACTACCTCTTCTATGGTGAGCTGGGGAAAAAAAAAAAAAAAAAAACAAAAAAACAAAAAAAAAAAAACTCGGCAAAAAAATTTTTTTAAAAAAAAGCGGGGGGCACCCCAGCCTGAGCTGAGCACCCTCTTCTCCCAGACCTTCAGCAGACGCTGCTGGGGTCCTGTCGCCCCGAGGAGGTGGCCATCCGCGTCCTCACCAGGGTCATTGGCCACTACCCCCACCGCAACCAGCTGCTGGTGGACTGTGGGTGGGCAGCCCTCAGCCTCCACGGCCGGGACCAGGCGCCCACGGGCTGCGCTGCCGTCGAGGGGCACCCCCAGCTGAGGTGGGTGGGGTGGGGTGGGGTGGGGTGGGGTGGGGTGGGGTGGGACACACACACACACACACACACAAAAATATCCCCCCCGGGTGCCGCCGTGTCCCCGCAGGCTGGTGGGGCTGACGCAGGAGCACGGGCAAGTGGAAGCCGTCAGCGGGCGGTTGGAGTTCGAGCGGTTCCCGTTGGGCACCATCCTGGCTCTCATCCCTTTCCACGTGAGTACCCGCCCGGCCACGCCCTGCCACGCCCTGCCACACCCGGCTGAGCATCCCTTCCCCACCCCCAGGCCTGTGCCACGGCCGCCATGCACCCCGTCTACTACGTCCACGCCGAGGGGAAGGTGGTGGAGCTCTGGCACCCCGTCCGTGGCTGGTGAGGAGAACTGGGGGGCCGCTGGGGGGGCCCACCCACACCCCCACCCACACCCCCACCCACACCCCCACCCACACCCCTGCGCCCACGCCGGGGGTCCTGCGCCCACGCCGGGGGTCCTGCGCCCACTTGGAGACCCTGCGCCCACGCCAAGACTGAGCGCCCCACGCCAAGACTGAGCGCCCCACGCGCTCCCGTCGAGGTGTGGGGGGGCAGCCACGGCACCCACCACGTGCACCCACGGCCAAATCCTGCACCCACCCTGGAGTCCTGCACCCGTGCCCGGGTGCTGCACCCACGCTGGGACCCTGCACCCATAGCCGGGCGCTGCACCCTACCCAGACCGAATTGAATAAAGGTTTATTTTCCCCCACTTCCAGACATTTTCGCCCCCCGGGGGCAGGGAGGGGACAGGCCGTGGGGAGGCGGCGGGGGGGAGGCCCAGCAGGATCCGGCCCCGTTTGCCCCAGTCCAGTCCCAGTGGAGCCGGTGGCCCCCGCGCTTGCCCGGGGCGGGACTCGAACCGGCGGCCACCCCGAGGGGTGGGTGGGACCCGAGCCCAGCCCAGCCGCCAGGGGCGGGGATCAGCGCGGGGCTCCGCCCTCCAAGCCGCTCGCAGCCAATAGCGAAGCACCCCGCCCTACCCGGCCCGGGGCGAACCACGCCCCTCCAGCAACTGCGGGGCCGCGCCGAGCCGAGCGGAGCCGAGCGGAGCCGAACGGAACCGAACGGAACCGAACGGAACCGAACCGGACAGAGCGGAGCCGAAGCGGAGCGGAGCGAAGCCGGAGCGAAGCCGGAGCGAAGCCGGAGCGAAGCCGGAGCGGAGCGAGCGGGTCCCGGGACCGGGCCCGGGTCTCCGCGATGCGGCGGGTCCTGCTGCTGCTGCTGCTGCTGCTGCCGGTGCTGCTCGGGACGGGACGGGGATGGGATGGGACTGGGAGCGGGACCGGGGCTCCCCGCTGCCCCCCCCGGGCCCCCCCGCCTGCTCCCCCCCCGCTTCACCCCGCGTCTTTTTGTTGTATTTCTCCTCCGTTTGGTTTGTTCCGTTCCGGTTCGGGTTATTTTGTTGCATTTGATTTTGGTTTGCTTCATTTTAGTTTGGTTTGGTTTACTTTGTCTTGTTTAATTTGGTTTAGTTCCTTTAATTTCATTTAATCCTTATTTTACTGCATTTCATTTTATTTTTACTTTAGTTTATTTCACTTTTTTTTTTTTTATTTTACTTTATTTCACTTTCATACTTTTCTATTTCATTTCGATTTATGGCTTTTTATTTCTTTTCGACGTATTTTATCGCATGTCTATATTTCTTTTTTATTTGATTATTCACTTTTTATTATTTTTATTCGATTTTTCCGTTTTTTGAATTTATTATTTTAGTGGGATTTTTTTTATTATTTTGGATTTTTTTGTTGTTGTTTTTATTCACCTTTTCATCCCACTCTATTTTACTCACCTCGGGCACAAGCAGTGGTGTCCCACGATCACCCACCCAGCCGTGTCCTCACCCCCCCGCGCCCCTATGACCCCTCGCGCCCCCCCCGGAGCAGGACCAGGGGGTACCCCAGGACCCCAAACCACACCCTGCCATTGCGGGGGGGGGGGGGGGCGGGGGGGCAGCTGAGGGTCCTGGTGTCCCCCCTTGAGGACAAAATCAAGGGGAAACTGAGGCAGGATCCCCCCCATGTCCCCACAGGTTCCGGGGTGCAGCGGGGGGGGTGAGAGCGGGAGGACCACGACGGCGGGGGGGTGCTGCACCCCCTGTCCCCCCGGCTTCGGCGTCACCCAACCCTGCACCCACAGTAAGTGCCCCCCCCCCAGCACCCACCACTCCCCCCCCCCCCATGAATGTCACCCAGGGGGACACCCCTGTCAAACCCCACACACCCCCAAGGGGGGGGGGGGGGGGGGGTGCCCTCGCGGAGGGGAGGGAAATGGGCTGGCCGTGCCTCAGTTTCCCCCATGTGTGGGTCTGAGGGGCGGGGAGGGCACAAAAAAATTAGGGGGGAGCACACCCAGCAGCACCCCAAGCTATAGGGGGTCACCTCTGGGTGCTGGTTCCCCCGCCAGGGGAAACTGAGGCAGTGTGGGGGGGGGGGGAGGAGGGGGGGGAAAGTGGGGCTTTCCCTAATCTTTTTTTTTTGGGGGGGGGGGGGAACCCCTCTATATAGGCGAGGAGCTGGAGGTGGTGACGGGGGACCCTTCTGCCCCCCCTGAATTTGTGCCACCCCCGGAGGCCACCGGCAAGGACATCATCCCCGTCTACTGCTCCCTCCTGGCCGCCGTGGTGGTGGGACTCCTCGCCTACGTGGCCTTCAAGTGGTAGGTTTTTTTGGGGGGGGGGGGGAAACGACACTTTTGGGGGGGGTAAAGGGACATCCTGGGTGACCCCCCACCCCCCACCCCGCCGGGGGGGCAGCTGGCACACGTGCAGGCAGAAGCAGCAGCTGGCCAAGGCGCGGGCAGGGGACTTGGGGACGTCACCCGAAGGGGAGAAGCTGCACAGTGACAGCGGGATCTTCCTCGACACCCACAGCCTGCAGGAACCCCACCAGCCCGGCAAGGGTGAGCACCCACCACCCACTTTTGAGGTCTGGGAGGTTTTCAGCCCCCCCCAACCCCCCCCGCCCCCCTGATGTCATCAGGGTGGGGGGGGGGGGGGTCAGGGTGCTGCCTATCCCCAGGGAGCAGCTGGAGCGCTTGGGGAGCAGCTGGATGGGGTTGGGGGTGCTCTAGGGAGCACCCCACCGTGGGTTTGAGGTGCCCGTGGAGCACCCGTATGGGGTTGGGGTGCACCTACGCCGTCCAAAATGGGTTGGGGAGCATCCCTGCTTTGGGGGTTCACCCCGGTGGGGCTGGGGAGCACCCACGGGTCAGGGAGCACGCGTGCCGCAGGGAGGACCCAACGAGGGAGCACCCGTGACCTGGGGAGCACCCAAAGGGGGTCGGGGAGCACCCAAAGGGGATTGGGGAGCACCCAAAGGGGGTCGGGGAGCACCCAAAGAGGGTCGGGGAGCACCCAAAGGGGATCGGGGAGCACCCAAAGGGGGTCGGGGAGCACCCAAAGAGGGTCAGGGAGCACCCAGAGAGGGTCGGGGAGCACCCAAAGGGGGTCGGGGAGCACCCAAAGAGGGTCAGGGAGCACCCAGAGAGGGTCGGGGAGCACCCAAAGGGGGTCGGGGAGCACCTGCATGGGATTGAGGAGCACCCAGGCCCTGGGGAGCACCCAGGTGAAGTTGGGGGGGGCACCCAAATGGGGGTCAGGGAGCACCTAAATGGGGTTGGGGAGCACCCAAATGGGGGGTTCGGGGAGCACCCAAACCAGGGTCGGGGAGCACCTGGGTGGGGTTGGGGAGCACCCAGGCCCTGGGAAGCACCCAAATGGGGGTCAGGGAGCAGCCAAACGCGGTTCGGGGAGCACCCATACTTGAGATAGCACCCAAATGGGCGTTGGGGTGCACCCATACCCAAGATATCAGCCAAATGGGGGTTTGGGGAGCACTCAAATGGGGGTCGGGGAGCACCTAAATGGGGGTCAGGGAGCACCCATACCTGAGATAGCACCCAAATGGGAGTTGGGAAGCACCTAAATGGGATTGGGGAGCACCCATCGTCCAGGTAACACCCAAACGGGGTTCGGGGAGCACCCATACCCAAGATATCACCCAACCAGGGGTTCGGAGAGCACCCATATGGGGGTTGGGGAGCACCTAAATGGGATTGGGGAGCACCCATTGTCCAGGTAGCACCCAAATGGGGTTCAGGGAGCACCTATACCTGAGATAGCATCCAAGTGGGGGTCAGGGAGCAGCCAAACGCGGTTCGGGGAGCACCCATAGTCCAGGTCACACCCAAATGGGATTTGGGGAGCACCCATACCCAAGATATCATCCAAATAGGGGTTCAGGGAGCACCCAAATGGGATTGGGGAGCACCCATACTCCCGGTAGCACCCAAATGCGGTTCAGGGAGCAGCCATACCTGAGATAGCACCCAAATGAGGGGTCAGGGAGCACCCAAATAGGATTGGGGAGCACCCATACTCCCGGTAGCACCCAAATGGGGGTTGGGGAGCACCCAAATGGGGGTCAGGGAGCACCCATACTCCTGGTAGCACCCAAATGGGGGTCAGGGAGCACCCATACTCCCGGTAGCACCCAAATGGGCGTTGGGGAGCACCCAAATGGGGGTCAGGGAGCACCAAATGGGGGTCAGGGAGCACCCATACCTGAGATAGCACCCAAACTGGGGTTGGGGAGCAACCAAATGGGGGTCAGGGAGCACCCATACTCCCGGTAGCACACAAATGGGGGTCAGGGAGCACCCATACCTGAGATAGCACCCAAATGGGGATTGGGGAGCACCCAAATGGGGGTCAGGGAGCACCCATACCTGAGATAGCACCCAAACGGGGATTGGGGAGCACCCAAATGGGGGTCAGGGAGCACCCATACTCCTGGTAGCACCCAAATGGGGGTTGGGGAGCACCCAAATGGGGGTCAGGGAGCACCCATACTTGAGATAGCACCCAAATGGGCGTTGGGGAGCACCCATACTCCCGGTAGCACCCAAATGCGGTTCAGGGAGCACCCATACCTGAGATAGCACCCAAATGGGGATTGGGGAGCACCCAAATGGGGGTCAGGGAGCACCCATACCTGAGACAGCACCCAAATGGTGATTGGGGAGCACCCAAATGGGGGTCAGGGAGCACCCATACCTGAGACAGCACCCAAACGGGGGTCGGGGAGCGCCCATACCCCAACAAGTCTCTCTCCCGGGAGCCGGTGCCCGGCGCCGGGCAGCGATTTGGGGGTGCGGACACTGACTCCCCCCTCCTCCTCCTCCTCCCCCCCCCCCCCCCAGCCCCCCGTCCCCAAGGTCCCCCGCTGAGCGCGGTGTCACCGCAGCGGCAGGAGGAGCTGGAGCGGCTGCTGGAGAGCGGGGGGCCGGGGGGGGACTGGCGCAGCCTGGCCGCCCGCTTGGGCTTCGGCCCGGACGCCATCGGCACCTTCGCCCGCGGGCGAGCGCCCACCCGCACCCTGCTCAGCGCCTGGGCGGGGGCCGAGGGGGCCACCCTGGAGACCCTCTGCCAGGCCCTGGGGGCCATCGGCCGCCAGGATGTGGCCCAGCGCTTGGTGGCACCGGGGGACGTCACCTCCGCCGTCTGACACCCCCGAAAGCAGGGGGGTCGGGGCGCGAGGTTTCCCACCTTTTTTTTTATTATTAATCTTTTGAGGGGGGTTGGGGTGAGGGAGGGTGGTTTTGTGTTTATAAAGGGGGTTTTGTACTTTTTTAGGGGTGTTGGGGATGGGGGGGGGGGGAGCGGGGATTTGGTGGCGGTGGGGACAGGGCGGGGGACGCGGCTGGTCGGATTAAACGTGTCACTTGTGTCACCGAGGGCGGGCGTCCCAGGGTGTGTCTGTCTGTGTGTCTGTGTGTCCGTCCCCCACAGGCGCGTGGCCCCGGATGCGTGTCCTTGGGTGGCCGTGTGTCCCCCAAACGCGTCACTGGGACACGCGTCCCCAGGTGCTCACATGTCCCCAGGTGGCCATGAGTCCTCGTGTGTCCCCAGGACGCGTGTCCCATGTCCCCAGGATGGGGCCCTGCGTGTCCGTGTGTCCCTGGGCTGTGTCCCCAGGTGTCCATGTGTCCCCAAGCGCATGTCACCAGGCTGTGTGTCCCCAGGTGTCCGTGTGTCCACAGGCCGTGTGTCCCCAGGTGTCCGGGTGTCCCCAAACACACATCACTGGGACATGTGTCCCCAGGTGTCCATGTGTCCCCAGGTGTCCATGTGTCCCCAAGCGCATTTCACCAGGCTGTGTGTCCCCAGGTGTCCGTGTGTCCCCAAACACATCACTGGGACATGTGTCCCCAGGTGCTCACATGTCCCCAGGTGTCCATGTGTCCCCAGGTGTCCGTGTGTCCCCAGGTGTCCGTGTGTCCCTGGGCTGTGTCCCCAGGTGTCCATGTGTCCCCAAGCGCATGTCACCAGGCTGTGTGTCCCCAGGTGTCCGTGTGTCCACAGGCCGTGTGTCCCCAGGTGTCCGGGTGTCCCCAAACACACATCACTGGGACATGTGTCCCCAGGTGTCCATGTGTCCCCAGGTGTCCATGTGTCCCCAAGCGCATTTCACCAGGCTGTGTGTCCCCAGGTGTCCGTGTGTCCCCAGACACATCGCTGGGACACGTGTCCCCAGGTGCTCACATGTCCCCAGGTGTCCATGTGTCCCCAGGTGTCCGTGTGTCCCCAAACACATCACTGGGACATGTCCCCAGGTGCTCACATGTCCCCAGGTGTCCGTGTGTCCCCAGGACGCATGTCCCATGTCCCCAGCCTGTGGCCCTGCATGTCCGTGTGTCCCAGGGCTGTGTCCCCAGGTGGCCGTGTGTCTCTAGGTGTCCATGTGTCCCCAGGTGTCCATGTGTCCCCAAACACGTCACTGGGACATGTGTCCCCAGGTGTTCATGTGTCCCCAAGAAGTGTGTCCCCAGGTGTCCGTGTGTCCCCAGGTGTCCGTGTGTCCCCAGGACACGTCCCACGTCCCCAGGCTGTGGCCCTACGTGTCCGTGTGTCCCCACGTGTCCACATGTCCCCAAACATGTCACTAGGACCTGTGTCCCCAGGTGTCCGTGTGTCCCCGGGCTGTGTCCCCCCGGGTGTCCCCAAGGCATCCGTGTGTCCCCCCAAGCTCCTGTCACCGGGACGTGTGTCCCCAGGTGTCCGTGTGTCCTCGTGCGTCTGTGTGTCCCCACACGTGTGTCCCCAGGACATTTGTCCTCGTGTGTCCCCCGGCCCACGCCCGTCCCCATAAGGACAGCAGGGGGGTGGGTGGCCCTGGGGGGGACACACCCCACCCCACCCCCCCCCAAAGACCCCAAGGCAGGTGGCTCCAGGCTTTGCTGCATGACCAAAAAGAGCCGTTTTAACCCCAGAATGTACCCGGGCACCCCTGCCCTGAGCTGGGTCCCCCTCCTGGGGACACTCGGGGTGACAGGGGGGTCCCCAAATGTGAGGGGACAGACCACCAAGCCAGGCCACCACGTCCCCACTGCCAGGTCCCCCCGGCCATGCCAAACCTCTTTCGGGGCCGGGTCTGGTGTTGATTTTTTGTCATTTTTCTTTTTATTATTTTTTTTTTTCTCTTTTTTTTTACATAAAAAGTTCCGTAAAAATTGGATAAAGTAAAATGATTTAAGCAGTAAAATCAATCTTATCAACATAGCACGAGGCCTGCCAGAAATCCGGGGGCAGCCCCGCTCCGCAATATTTACAGGAAAACAGATTAAACCTTGCAGAACCAAAAATAAAACCAAGGAAACAACCGGAAAAAAAAAAAAAATTAATAATAATAATAATAATAACCCCGAAACTATCCTTACAAAGTGTTCCTGTGGTATCGGCACATCCTGGGCTAAAAGCAAAAAAAAAAAACCCAACAAAAAAAAAAAACAGAAACAAACCCAAAATTATCAATATATTCACATATACGTTAAAATATAATACAGAGCTTGGTGACGCACGGGGTGAGCGTCCGACAGCACCGCCGGGGTGGGGGAGCCGGCAAAGCCCGGCTTAGCAAAGCCCGGCTTTTCCTCCGCGCTGCCCCGGCAGCACAAACCGCCTTCACGCCGTAGGGAACGAAGTTTATTTTCTAATTTTTTTTTTTTTTTTTTTTAAAAAAAAAAAAAAAAAAAAGGTAATAAATTCACAGGTTGGTGGTTTAATACCGCGAATCCTGGTGGAATCGATGTTTCCCAAGGTTTGGCTGCGGCCGGCACCGATGGGGCGGTGGAGGAGGAGGAGGAGGAGGAGGAGGAAGAGGAGGAGGAGGAGGTGGTTACTCCAGGTCTGTGTCCTCTTTGGGTTTGTAGATGGCCCCGAATTTCTGCATGTATTTCTTGATGTATTCCTTCGTCTTGTGTTTCACGTTCTCGTTGCACTCGAGATCCTCCGGGTTCTTGCAGTATTTCAGCTCCTTGTTCATCACGCCGTGAGTCAGCTGGGGGGGGAGAGGAGGGGCCGGGGATGTCCCAGTGGCCCCAGGAATCCAAGTCCGGGGGGTTCCCCAAGCTATTTTGCCATTTTTCCCCAAACATTCCCCTAAAATTCGCTATTCTTCCCCAAATATCCCCCTAAAATTCGCTATTCTTCCCCAAATATCCCCCTAAAATTTGCTACTCTTCCCCAAATATCCCCCTAAAATTTGCTATTCTTCCCCAAATATCCCCCTAAAATTTGCTATTCTTCCCCAAATATACCCCTAAAATTTGCTACTCTTCCCCAAATATACCCCTAAAATTTGCTATTCTTCCCCAAATATCCACCTAAAATTTGCTACTCTTCCCCAAATATCCCCCTAAAATTCGCTATTCTTCCCCAAATATCCCCCTAAAATTCGCTATTCTTCCCCAAATATCCCCCTAAAATTTGCTACTCTTCCCCAAATATCCCCCTAAAATTTGCTATTCTTCCCCAAATACTTGCCAACCTATTTTGCCATTATTCCCAAATACTCCCCAAATATTATCTATTATTCCCAAATACTGCCCAAATAGTGGCTATTATTCCCCAAATATTTCCTATTATTCCCAAATAGTGGCTATTATTCCCAAATATTTGCTGTAATTCCCCAAAGATTTCCTATTATTCCCAAATATTTGCTCTTATTCCCAAATACTCCCCCAGTATTGGCCCTTATTCCCCAAATATTGGCCATTATTCCCAAATATTCCCTATTATCCCCAAATACACCTCCACTTATGGCTCTTACTCCCCAAATATTGGCCATTACTCCCTAAATATTGGCCATTATTCCCAAATATTTGCCATTATGCCCAAATACTCACCCAATATTGGCTCTTATTCCCCAAATATTGGTCATTATTCCCAAATATTGGCTCTTATTCCCCAAATATTGGCCATTATTCCTAAATATTCCCTATTATCCCCCAAATACTCCCCCAATATTGGCTCTTATTCCCCAAATATTGGCCATTATTCCCAAATATTCCCTATTATCCCCCAAATACTCCCCCAATATTGGCCATTATTCACCAAATATTGGCCATTATTCCCAAATATTGGCTCTTATTCCCCAATATTGGCCATTATTCCCCAATATTCCCTATTATCCCCACATACTACTCACCCTTATTTTGGCTCTTATTCCCCAAATATTGGCCATTATTCCCAAATATTGGCCATTATTCCCCAATATTGGCCATCGCTCCCCAAATATTGGCCATTATTCCCCAATATTGGCCATCGCTCCCCAAATATTGGCCATCACTCCCCAAATATTGGCTATTATTCCCAAATATTGGCCATCACGCCCCAAATATTGGCCATCGCTCCCCAAATATTGGCTATTATTCCCAAATATTGGCCATCACGCCCCAAATATTGGCCATTATTCCCCAATATTGGCCATCACGCCCCAAATATTGGCTATTATTCCCAAATATTGGCCATCACTCCCCAAATATTGGCCATTATTCCCCAATATTGGCCATCGCTCCCCAAATATTGGCCATTATTCCCAAATATTGGCCATCACTCCCCAAATATTGGCCATTATTCCCCAATATTGGCCATCGCTCCCCAAATATTGGCCATCACTCCCCAAATATTGGCTATTATTCCCCAATATTGGCCATCACACCCCAAATATTGGCTATTATTCCCAAATATTGGCCATCGCTCCCCAAATATTGGCCATTATTCCCCAATATTGGCCATCGCTCCCCAAATATTGGCCATCACTCCCCAAATATTGGCTATTATTCCCAAATATTGGTCATCACGCCCCAAATATTGGCCATTATTCCCCAATATTGGCCATCGCTCCCCAAATATTGGCCATTATTCCCCAATATTCCCTATTATCCCCACATACTCCCCCGATAGTGGCTCTCATCCCCCGGATCCTTCCTCTTACCCCCAAACGCTGCCCCCCGCCCCCTCCCCGCGCGGCCGGGCCCCCCCCCGGGGACGTCCCCGCGCTGTCACCTTGCGCGCCAGGTGCTTGAAGTCCTCGGTGGTGGTGATGCGCCCCACCTTGCAGTCGGGTTTGCGGTAGGGGTTCAGGCACTGCACGATGAACTGCGACATCTGCGGGACACCGGAACCTGGGATCGGGGTCCCCCCTGGGGGGGGTGGCGGGGCGGGGGGGGGGGGACGGGGGGACAGGACACACACATGTCCCCAAAGACACCCCCCCCCCCCCCCCCCA